AGAAGATATGCAAATGAAACATTAATATCAACGTGCACCATATGGACAAAAGTGCTTCCTAAAATTCGAGCTAGAACTTATAGAAGTATCGAGATATAGGCATATCCTAGTACATTCACACAAACAACCAACATCGGTCTACCAAACTTCACAGATCTGATTATCAAACAGCTCTTTATAGGTACAATTTTATTTTAAAATTTTATGATTTGTCACTTTTTTCAATGCCCCATTATTTTGATGACGGAATGCTTACAAATTATAAATTCCATGAAAATGAGAACAATGATCGTGATCGTGTCGAATGTCGATTAGCAATTGAAGAACCGACTGGATGTTGAATCCGGTTTCGTCCGGATATTTGGCTTTAATGTCCGGTTTCGGTCCTTTATTCAAGAATTTTGCCGGATTTATTCAACCGGAAATTTGAAAAAAATGTATTTGTGAAATCCTGAAATGCATATTTTCGTCGAAATGTTTGACTCAAATCCTTGGAAAATTATGCTTTTTATATAATATCGAGGTAAAACATCTTTTAAGAATACCGAACGGTAGCAATTATACTAATACTAATAGTCATTATTACAATCCAGTTTTGGCTCCGATTCATTGATTCTAAAAATGAGAACTATTGTTGTGCAGCCTGATTAAAACGACTCAATTAATACGTTCACCTGCAGCTCAGTGGCGTAACGACGTTGCCTGTTGGCCCCCCGCCGAAATAGCGCCCCCTTTTGGCGCCCCTTTCCCTTTTGGTGCCCCTCCCTAAAATTGAACAAATTAGCCTTAGGTGATTTTAATTTAGAGGATACGCCGGTAAAATTTCTAAAAAAGTGTGTATCTAGAGCAAAACGCGCAGTTTTGCTAGTACTTTAGTTAAGTTTTCGAAATTGTCCCACATTCAAACGACGATTTGGCGCCCCCCTTAGACGGCGCCCCCCCCCCCCCCGCACAGCGGGGTCAGCGGGGCCTTTCGTTACGCCACCGCTGCAGCTCCATGCGGGGCAAGTAATATTGTGACTCAGGAACTTGTATTATGCCAGATGCCTGCTGGCTTGATTCGGAAACTATATGTGTTCTCGATATTCAGACCTGCATGATAAGACGGGAATTACTGTCTCACACGTGCAATCGCGCTTCAGCAGCGGTCTATAGTTTGATATGCCAATTGCATGTCATTATTACTTCTGCGCTGCTAATTACTTATCTACTTTTGTTGCTACGACATCAAGTCGTAATATCGGGGGCAACGTCGACCGGTACAATGCCGACCGGCTTATGTCCGGCTATTAGTATTAAACGCCTAAAAGCTATTAGCCGGCTAATATAATAGCTGGTAGGCATTGTACCTACTTATTTGCTTATCGAGGTCTCGTATCCGACCGCCGATACCAGAGTCAGATCTCGAAGTCGAATCGCGATATCGGGTTTTCATACTCAACTCCAGAATCCCGAGGTCTCGTATCTGACTTAACAAATTTTGAAGATAGAAAAAAATGTAGAGAAAAGTTTCTAAAAACATTTTTATTTAATACTTCGGTTGATTAATACTTAGGTTGATTACTGATCAGGTTTTGCATGAAAATCTCGAATCGTGACATGACATAAGGGCTTGGTATTTATAAAAATCCGAGTGAGTCCATGAAAATTCAAAATATTTTCAAAATTCAAAATATTTTCAAAAATCAAAATAATTATTTTTACATTTATAGGTGAATTTCTACATAAAAACTTGTCGCTTTCATATCAGGATTCTACCTTTTATTTGGTTGAAATTTGGGTAACAATTGGTTGAATTTGAGATAGGACATGAGCACATTAATTAGTAAACTTTTTATTGTGTAACTTAAAGTTATCGTCATAGATTTTAATATTAAAAGTGATAAAAACCAAAAATTAGGATTCATTTGTATTTGCCGGCAATTTCCGGCAACCTTAAATTTCCTCTCTTAACACTCGGTTCCAGTTCATTAAATTAATCTTACCAACCAATAAATGATAAAAATATAATTACTAAACATGAAAATTCAAAATACACAAATCCAGAAGCAACTCTAACTGAAATGAAATCATTAACGTTGAAAATTCCTTAAAGCTTATAAAATATCAAAGTACCATATAATATGCAAGAGCATAAAGAATTTTCATTCTAATTTATGTAAGTATGTAACGACGGTCCTCCATTTCTAACACAGTAACACTACGAAACCCGTGAATGTTAAAGTTAAACAAGTATATAATTTGTTGAGTTTTATCACATGGCCACCAACATTTGTAAAGCAGAACCTAATTACATGCTGTTTTGTCTTTGGGAATCTGGGCGTTAGACTTAGGGCGCTATAGGCATTGTGGAATCATTTATACCTCACAGTCCGGTAAGGACCATGCCGGAGTGCAGGACAGTGACTGAGTATTTTCTGTGTGTCCTAATTCTATGTTCTGGGGGTACTGGCGTGACACTCGCTGTTTTAACTAAATAACATATGCAAAGACCGAGCACGAGACCGGACGCTTTCCCAAGTCCCGAGTTCAGGCGAATATTATAAAAAACTTTGACGATGCAAGACAGCAAGATACTATGTCATCATAGTTGTTGAGTGCCAATGGATCTACCAAAATAGGTTTCTCAGTAGACCAAACAGATAGTTGTTCAGACGAATATTGTAGTTCAAATATTTTACCCCTCGAAATTATTTCTCGATCAGGACTTTTTACCATCAATTTTGGACCAAAATCGTTGCCTCTCTGAAGCTACTCTTAGTCGAACTATAATAATAACCTGGAGGGGGATTATTTAAAACATATAAGTGATACGAAAAGTTTGTTTTTAGCAGGAGCTTTCAAAATACAATCGGCTCTTACTAATTCGCTCGCCCAATTATTTAGCGATTTATTAGTGAGTAGGAGCGGTGTAAATCGTCTTCAGCTGGGGATGATGTTGTGAAGGGGTGATTATATAAAATGTAGTGGTGTCAATGATGAGTGATGTGTGACATGCAAGGGTGGCTCCACCGGTGGAGTGGAGAGGGTGGAAAAATGTTTTAAGTTTACAATATAATAACATTCAAATTAAAAAATAGGCTTTTGAGGTAGATGAAAAGGAAATGCCAGATGGCCTGGTCTTTAGAGATGAAGCAATCTTGGGAAGGATAGGGTCCCATAGTGAGCTACATTTGGGGGCACGATCAGTTCTGTTCATAGAGGGTTGTCTTATCTGAATAGCGGCGTGTTCTGTCAGGTCAAGTTGAGATCGTGTTGTGAGGGATTTGAGGACTTCTATGTTGTTCCAGGAGATGGAATGTCCAGTGGTCAGGGCACATGATGGGCGGGGGCGGATTTGATCCTGTCTGTGGTTTCGTCGAAGGCATTGTTGAGTCTGTAACATCGTTCGTGTGTTCTTTCATGCGGTGGATCAGGGGTCTGTAGGTCTGTCCGGTATACTTGGAGGGACATTGCGAGCAGGATATCTCGTAGATGGTGTTAGGAGTGAGTTGAGTGGGGGGGGGGGGGGGGGGTTGGGGTCTTCGTCTTGGTGAGAAGGTTATAATAATAACTCTAACTCTATCCTCAATCTTAACACAAACTCAGAACTCAACCTAACGCTTGTCAGACGCCGCCAGACCAATATAAGCGTTTCATCGTAGCTGGTACGACGGAGGAGGTGCCTAACAAATCGTATAAAGCAATTTACTCAAATATGTAAGTATAACCAATACCACTAACGCAGCGGATTGTCCAAATTAATTTTCCTAAATAAAAGTTAAGATCAGAAATATCTAACAGCCTAAATTGTGAGCGTCCCTCATATTGAGCAGTTAATAGGTAAACTGCTCGAATAAATACCTCTAATCCATTACCAACAGCCCATATTGTGATGTTTAATAAAGACGCCAGGTTGAGTTTCATGATAAGAATATTGTGTCAGGTTTGAAGATACGTTGTTGAAATTTTACTTCCACTTTTTAAGCTTCCACTTTTTAAGCTTCTTCAGAGTTTTCCTATCTCGGTAATGTATTGAGGTTGCACTTTAGGTTTAGGACAGGGTTAATACTAGTATTACGAATATTACGAATAATTAATGTTCGTAATGGATGGTGTAACTGTAAGGACAGGTTTGGAACAAGGCGACATTTTCTGCTCAAAATTCAAGGACAAAGTCTTGAAATGTAATGTCGAGGGGTGATTATGATATGCTCCCACCCATTGCCAATTTCTGATACCCCTTGCCAAAATTACAATATTCAGCTAGCCCCTCGGGTATCTTTATAGTTATAGTTTAAAACAACGTAGGACAAGATCTGATTAGAGGCAATATTTCAAACTTACCTAGCACACAGTTTGTCTTACTTGCATTATTATTACGATCATAACTATTAAAATCAGGAAACTACACGACATAAATTCAAATTGACATATTTTGTAGGTGACCTCTCGCACAACAAAATAACACCAATCGGGTGCAATCAAAAGCAAAGCCAATTAGAACCCACCCAATAAATTGTAAAATAAAGTAAACAAAGACGATAGCACGTATTTTATTATTCATAATTATTTTTCGTGAGCACAAACTGAAGCAAAAACATTCAGAATATAAAATACTCAATCCCGAATATAACGACGCGATCTAGCTGATAATGCAATATAAAGGTGCGACAGTGACGCATTGTCATGGATTGTTCTGCTTTACTGTACCGTCTAGCTATCAGTAATATCACACCGATACACAGAGCTACAGTAATTCAGGTGGAATCAAAATTAAAGGGCAATAACTATAATGTGATTTCTAGACAGCAATTATAAAAATTATAGTTTATAGTTGAAACGGTGGCGGGACTAAATAGAGAGGAGATAAAGGCGTAAATAAAAAATTATTTCCAGTAAATCGGAAGTAAAACGATCCCAGCTCAATGAACTCGGTGAGCTGATATCTTGACGTAATTTTCGTGAATCGTAATTGTATGACGTCAAGTACAAATAACTTTTAATACTTTCAACACTACTATAACAAATAATTTGAGATCATGAATGCGATGTTGTAACATTGAAACATTGAGTAATTCCTTTCCTGATAAGAGCATTTTTCCTTGTTGCATCAAACGGGATCAATACAAATTTACACAAGAAAACATTGCAACCATGCGACTCATAAATAATATTCCAATCCGGATTTTACACAATAACTAAATAAGATAATCACGCTATAGAGTCTGAAAGTACTGATTCGAAAGCTCAACTGTACTGTCAACGTATGGGTCTCTTCAAAGCAATGTATGGGTCTCTTGAAAGCTATGAAAGCTATAGCTAGCTCTATAACTATAAGTAGGTATACAACTATTTTAGTCTTATGCATTTCCTCTTCACGTCGCGTCGTCTTGAAATGAAAAGACGTCATCATTTTTAGGACGGTTGTGAGGTAACATTTTCAGTGACTGTGACCGTTCAAAACTAGAATTACTGACTAATGACTATTATATAACTACTGCATAACTATTATATTTATAACGAGTAACGACATCCTGGTTTCGAAGAGTATCAACCTTGCACACGCGGTTAAATAAAACCCCTAGTAATTACTGTGATAAAGTGCAGATAAAGATGACTAATTTAGTGATAATAGCTGTTAGCAACCTCCCAGTGATTATGGTTATAGTAGTGATGACTCACTGATGAGATTATGGATTACCAAACAAGGAATGGTTGTGGTTAGGCCTCACCTTCACTATAATGGGTTACTTCACTGGTATTCTAATAACGGGAATACATAGGAAGCTTGAAGTATCGTGATAATCATTAATTAATCAGTGATCGACAACTAAGATGGATTTGAGGTCATTTCCTACCGTTTATCTATGTTGCTTGACCAGAAAATAAAAATACGTGTTTATTGTCAATTCTTAAGATTTAAATATATAACAAAATTTTATAAAGATTTACAAAACAGATCTTTAAAAATAGGTAAATTAATTTGTTTTTTGCCGCTTTCTTTTTGAAAACAATAAATTTAATTTATAGGGGCTTGTTCATTAATTCTATCAAGTTCCAATTTAATTATGTTATATTTTACATACACCAGAAGGATAGGATTAATAACCTGAATAAGAAAGCAATATAGAATAACAAAATATTAAAAATGGGGGTCAATCAAACATACGGCTAACCTATTAAGTAGAAAATAATTTAAAAACTATCAACTTAATACTAATACTATTTACTTGCTCTACTCCTAATATAGCTGTTGACTTATCGAATATTCAGGAACTATACATTTTCGCAGCTACAGCACAGTAATTTACACGTGGTTTACACGTGATATACACGTGATTTACACGTGGTTTACACGTGATTTACACGTGATATACACGTGGTTTACACGAGGTTTACACGAGGTTTACACGTGATATACACGTGATTTACACGTGGTTTACACGTGATTTACACGAGGTTTACACGTGATATACACGTGGTTTACACGTGATATACACGTGATTTACACGTGGTTTACACGTGGTTTACACGTGGTTTACACGTGATATAGACGTGGTGTACACGTGATTTACACGAGGTTTACACGTGATATACACGTGATATACACGTGGTCTGTTAGCCTCTTCACTTCAGGACGTAGAATGGAGCATTGTTCTTAGTCCAGGGGCACCCAGTTCTTACTCCCTCCAACAGAATCTAAAGAAGACGTGGGGTTAAAAGTCGGGTAAATGTAATTTTAGATTTCCGAAATTTTGCTCTCCGTAATATTGTTCCCCTACATTTTGCTCTCAGTAATGTTGTTTCCCTACATTTTGCTCTCAGTAATGTTGTTCCCCTACATTTTGCTCTCCGTAATATTGTTCCCCTACATTTTGTTTTCCAAAATGTAGTTCTCCTACACAAACTTACCTCTCTAGGTGAAGGACAGTTAAGGTCTATGTCCCATCTGGAGATTACGATTCCTTGAGTGTCACGAAGGTGGTCAACAAAAGCTTGGAAACATGAGCATTCTGAAATATTTGTATTTGTTTTGGAACATTCATATTTTTGAAATATTTATATTTTTGAAATAATGTTTATTTGCTGCTTGTGGAATATCTTATAGTTCTCACCCTTGTTGGATCGAATAACTTGGCCAGAGATATAACGACTGATATATAGCAAGCCGGCTTACATGCATATTGATTTTTAGCTAATATATACTTTAAAGCTTTAAGAAATGATATAACTTATTATCAAATTGATTACCCATATAGTTAGCCTTAAAAAGTGAGGCTTATAGTTACTTTAAAGCTTTAAGAAATGATATAACTTATTATAAAATTGATTACCCATATAGTTAGCCTTAAAAAGTGAGGCTAATAGTTACTTTAAAGCTTTAAGAAATGATATAACTTATTATCAAATTGATTACCAATATAGTTAGCCTTAAAAAGTGAGGCTAATAGTTACTTTAAAGCTTTAAGAAATGATATAACTTATTATCAAATTGATTACCAATATAGTTAGCCTTAAAAAGGGAGGCTAATAGTTACTTAAAAGCTTTAAGAAATGATATAACTTATTATAAAATTGATTACCCATATAGTTAGCCTTAAAAAGGCCGGAGGCTAATAGTTACTTTAAAGCTTTAAGAAATGATATAACTTATTATCAAATTGATTACCCATATAGTTAGCTTTAAAAAGTGAGGCACTGTCCATCATCCTATCGTGAGCAGCAGCTAGCACGAAATTGTTATCTGCCGAAAAGTCGATCAAATTGCTAAGTGGACTAGATTTCATATCGTTCATCACCGACTCCCTGAAAGAGAACTTGTTATAGAGAAGGATTAAGCATTCGTTATTTAATGTCGTGATATATTTTCATTACAATCATAGATCACTGCTGCATTGTTGATGCATGACAGGGACAAAAGGATTTCGCGGCATGTACGAAATCGCGAAATTTCCCATTCTCCGCGACAAATTTTATGTATAGTTTAATGTATAGCCTGTTAAATTTCGCGGTATCGCGAAATTTGGCCAAAATAATCGCGAAATCCTTTTGTCCCTGATGCATGATAACTGTTGTAGAATGTAGATAGATTAATATATATATTGTAGATATAATAATAATATTCCAATCCGGATTGTACACTCACACTGTGTTGGTGTCTATGTCAACACTGTTCAGCTCATTTACACCGCAGGATCCCCCTGAGAAATGGTTTTATTAATTGATTTGTATGTTACATTAAAATTATTAATTTTGTCGACCTTAGTTTGATATAACTTTATTTAGAATCACTATGGGTGTCTGTGGGTCGCCTATTGGTGGTTGTTCTTTAACATTCTTTATCATCGGCAGTCAATCTCGCAAGATTTTTGTAGAATACTGAATATTCATTATTTTCCTCCGTTTTTCTCCTTACAAGTTGATAGCTCTATACTTACGGACATAAGTAACAGCCCAGGTATCAGCGAATGACATTATAGCACCTCCGTTGTAAAGATTTTGTTCCAAGTCGTTTGCGGAGTTTCCTGGGTGTTTGAATTTATCAATAACTTAATGAAATAATGATCACAATAGCATGGTTATTGTTTCGATAAAGTTTGATTATAGCACTGAGTCTATCTCTAAGTCATCATTCACCAGTATATCTTCATATCAATAGCGATAATCTTCCTATCCCTTCCTAAATTCAAATATATATTTATTCAATAGCTTTATTAGTACTTATAGTTATAAATGATCATAATATCGTAGAATGGGTTAATACGACTTCAATTTTTCATACCGTCGTTATTTGAGCAGAGTCCACAAGTTCTTGCTCCTTTATCAACAATAATCCTAAGAGAAGAGAGACCGTCCCATTCTACTACAGCTCCACCAATGTCTGCTGTCAGGATAGATCCATCGAACGAGAGGTCAACACCTGAAAAGGAGATCGGGTTTGAAAACAAATTAATTTTTGTTCCAAGCTCACTATTTTAATTTGAGTCATTTTTCTAAAATTAGAGAAGTTAATTACTAGATTGTTAGATAAGTTACCTCGAATGGACTGAGTTTCGCCTTTAGAAAGTCCAAACATTCTACCATAGTCGTTTATTCCAAAACCTCTCTTTATTTCCAAAGGACCTGTAAAATGGATATAATGGACGTAGTTTCGAAGCATCCTTAAGTCCTTAAGTCCTTAATTAAGGACTTAAACCCTCTAAAAAGCTTACTGATGCAACATGTAATTGTATTGTAATGTAATTGTATTGAAGTTGTATCGATTAAAAATTGTTCTGCCATCAATCTGATGAGCCGCGCCTAAGAAGAACAGTACGGGCACGTGGCACGCGTGTACGCTAAATAAATATATGAACGGAAAACGGAAAAGTCCCAACTTCTCATCCGAACACTGAACAGCTGCACTAACCTTGTTGTGTAATGATATCAACATTTTCAAGGCAGGTAACCCCATTGCCGCAAGCTGCGAACTTTCCGTAGATATACCAACCATACCCAGAACAGTCCATAGCGAGTACATAAGGACATTCACCGTGGAAAGTGTAGTGTTCACCTGCGATAAGGAATAGATTACATTGGAAATGCTTATGATACTGTATAGACATAGTGCACTGATTAGAATTGGCGATCAGTCACTTAACATACACATAAGCATCTATCTAATCATTACCGGACCAGTTTCATTTAATTTGATTCGATTCAACGGTCAAAATACGTTTAGTGAAGTATATAATATTCAGATTTCCTAGGGTATACAAGTATACAGTAGAAATGCACGAAACATTATAATATGATTAACTGAGATTTTAACCGCAAATTCTATAGATAGTTGCACTATAGTGTAATTTCTGAACGTAGCTAAAAGTAATGACGAAGGATCAGGATTCAGGAGCCTAGGATCTCAAAAATATGGATTACATAATATGAGAAATATTCATTTTATGTACTATGTTATATTCGTATATCTTGTTAAGAAGCATTCAGTAATTTTGAATGGAATGACTGATACAAATTTAATCAACACTATGTTTAATAAAGCTGTTACATTTACATACACTCACCATCAAAAGTAAGAATGTGAGGATCTCCGAAAACACTGCAGACACTTTTGTCGCTGACAAAGTTGGGATCTTTGGACGCAACATTGATTGTTTTTATTACAGTAGGGTGAGAAGGACATCTTTTCATTTCTGCGGTATACCGTCCAGCTTCACTGACCTGAGATGCAAACAAATTCTTTATTCATGTATTTTAAAAATCCGTGTTAGATACCATGCATGTATACCATGTATACCATGTATACCATGTATATCATGTATACCATGTATACCATGTTTATTGTTTACCATGTATACCATGCATGTATTTGTAAATCACACGCTCAGACGAAGGGCAAAAAATACAATTTTTTGCAGACCTTGTTGGTCCAGGGATCACGGCCGGTGAATGAAGACTCTTACCTTGTTGGTCCAGGGATCACGGCCGGTGAATGAAGACTCTTACCTTGTTGGTCCAGGGATCACGGCCGGTGAATGGAGACTCTTACCTTGTTGGTCCAGGGATCACGGCCGGTGAATGGAGACTCTTACCTTGTTGGTCCAGGGATCACGGCCGGTGAATGAAGACTCTTACCTTGTTGGTCCAGGGATCACGGCCGGTGAATGGAGACTCTTACCTTGTTGGTCCAGGGATCACGGCCGGTGAATGGAGACTCTTACCTTGTTGGTCCAGGGATCACGGCCGGTGAATGGAAACTCTTACCTTGTTGGTCCAGGAATCACGGCCGGTGAATGGAAACTCTTACCTTGTTGGTCCAGGGATCACGGCCAGTGAATGAAGACTCTTACATTGTTGGTCCAGGGATCACGGCCGGTGAATGGAGACTCTTACCTTGTTGGTCCAGGGATCACGGCCGGTGAATGGAGACTCTTACCTTGTTGGTCCAGGGATCACGGCCGGTGAATGGAGACTCTTACCTTGTTGATCCAGGGATCACGGCCGGTGAATGAAGACTCTTACCTTGTTGGTCCAGGGAATAGGGATCACGGCCGGTGAATGGAGACTCTTACCTTGTTGGTCCAAGGATTACGGCCGGTGAATGGAGACTCTTACCTTGTTGGTCCAGGGATCACGGCCGGTGAATGGAGACTCTTACCTTGTTGGTCCAAGGATCACGGCCGGTGAATGGAGACTCTTACCTTGTTGGTCCAGGGATCACGGCCGGTGAATGGAGACTCTTACCTTGTTGGTCCAGGGATCACGGCCGGTGAATGGAAACTCTTACCTTGTTGGTCCAGGGATCACGGCCGGTGAATGGAGACTCTTACCTTGTTGGTCCAGGGATCACGGCCGGTGAATGAAGACTCTTACCTTGTTGGTCCAGGGATCACGGCCGGTGAATGGAGACTCTTACCTTGTTGGTTCAGGGATCACGGCCGGTGAATGGAGACTCTTACCTTGTTGGTCCAGGGATCACGGCCGGTGAATGAAGACTCTTACCTTGTTGGTCCAGGGATCACGGCCGGTGAGTGGAAACTCTTACCTTGTTGGTCCAGGGATCACGGCCGGTGAATGGAGACTCTTACCTTGTTGGTTCAGGGATCACGGCCGGTGAATGGAGACTCTTACCTTGTTGGTCCAGGGATCACGGCCGGTGAATGAAGACTCTTACCTTGTTGGTCCAGGGATCACGGCCGGTGAATGGAGACTCTTACCTTGTTGGTCCAGGGATCACGGCCGGTGAATGGATACTCTTACCTTGTTGGTCCAGGTATCACGGCCGGTGAATGAAGACTCTTACCTTGTTGGTCCAGGGATCACGGCCGGTGAATGGAGACTCTTACCTTGTTGGTCCAGGGATCACGGCCGGTGAATGGAGACTCTTACCTTGTTGGTCCAGGGATCACGGCCGGTGAATGGAGACTCTTACCTTGTTGGTCCAGGGATCACGGCCGGTGAATGAAGACTCTTACCTTGTTGGTCCAGGGATCACGGCCGGTGAATGAAGACTCTTACCTTGTTGGTCCAGGGATCACGGCCGGTGAATGGAGACTCTTACCTTGTTGGTCCAGGGATCACGGCCGGTGAATGGAAACTCTTACCTTGTTGGTCCAGGGATCACGGCCGGTGAATGGAGACTCTTACCTTGTTGGTCCAGGGATCACGGCCGGTGAATGGAGACTCTTTGAACCACGAGACGGTGACTGATTCTTCACCTGTCTTCAGTACGGTTTCCTCTCCAGCGTTACTGAGGGATGCAAATGCTTTGATTTATTTTGTTAAAACAACCGACCCAACAACACACAGTTAACACGATTCGGTATGTTTATTTATAGGATACATAAGGAGTATAATTAAGAATAGGAAAGCCGAAATTGGTTTACATCATAACAGCGGAGACTGAGTTCTGAGCCTCTAGCACTGGAACTGGAATGTCCAAATATGCTGGGTCGTATCCGTCAGCTTCACATACCCAAGTAGGGTCAGCACAGTTCAGATCCAATACTACCTCCTTGCCTTTTACCTGCAACATCTTGGTTATTCTCTTTGTAACTCATGATGTTGTTTCTCTTATATTTCAGGAATATTCAGAAATATTCAGAAATATTCAGAAATATTCAGAAATATCCAGAAATATTCAAAAATATTCAAAAATATTCCATGCAAAGTACCAAACTTATTTAATAGATGTGGGGAGGTATATACCTTCAACACGTTATAGCAATTAGCCAATCAGCATCCACAATTGACCAACCAAACCCAACAAGAATTGCGCCCGTTGTTTCGTTTTGGCGGACGCTAGATTTCCATTTCACATTTACTATACATTTAAGTATAAGCTCCAATCAGCTCACTTCAATCTTCATGATAATAATATTGATAAATTATGCATCAAATACGTAGGGACTACGGGTGGAAGATGAATAATTGATATTCCAACAGCATCTTGTTCTCTGCATTGTGCTGATTCCGGGAAGCATTTTGTTTACGCTCTCATCATTCTGTAGGATGAGATATCGTTCATTTAAAATTGGGTAATTATAGGCCTGTCAAGGATTTCAGCCTAATTAAGAGCTGATCAATTGCAGCTAGTTGTGCCATATAAAGGATAACTGAGGTCACGTGACATTCAGTCCTATCACGTGACCGCTAATCCTATCACGTGACCTTGATTCGTAAAGCCTCGGGCACGTGATCACATTCGTAACGTGTCGTATGCCGACTAGGAGATTTTGTGACGTCACCAGAGCTGAAGCTACTTGATCAGGCCTTATATGGAATAATATCGTGTATCGGGTGTAATTGGACCCAATTAGAGCAGCTGAGCGCTCAAATATAGCATCATCTGGTACCACCTTCTGCTCTTCTGAAACCCAGCAGACAGCTGGCCCAGAGAATCGAAATTAGAAGGATTTTTTATTGATGGAAATCGAAGCGGAAACCTTGTAACCCTATGTTTTCGATGACGCCGAACAAGATTAAACAGGTTATAATTGTCCTACTCTCGTGTAAATTGCTCTAAAACGTGATTGAAATTGTAATGATGCTATCAATTGTAATACAGTTTTTACATTAAGCTGAGCGGCGTAACGGCTGGCATTCCTGGGCCGCACTCATCCCAGATTGTCATTCCGCCGCAGCTTCAATTTATCTGGATATTACAGCCTGGGGTCCCCAGGTAACGACTGGAACCGCTATATCTGCCTAATCTCAGCTATTGTAAATAACGAAGCCTGTGATCCGCACATCAGGTATTGACCACATTGAACGGGCTTGAATCGAACAAGCCGTGTTATTAATATTAAAGATATTAATACCAAAAATCGTATTACTAGATTACCTTCTTGTCATTTGTGCGAAGTGCGTACTCTTTATACTGCAGTTTGAAGTGCATTACAGAGTTAATGTTATGTGTATTATACAGTTACAGTTATGTAACTGTTGCACACAGTAAAACTTACTGCGATCGCGCTGATAAGAAGTGAACTGATAAGAGTCGAGTAAAATTGCAACGTAACTAAAATCAATGTAACACCGCTATATGAATAGTGATCATTTCTCAAATAGTTTTCTCAATATTGCAATGAAGTTGTCCGATTTTATTGATGGAACGTGTGACAGCCTTCCATGTCACAGTCCTCCGTCAAACAAGGACATCCTTCGTTTTCTTTTGAGCCACAAGGAAAACCATGCGACTCATGTCGATTTAATGCTGGCCGAGGTTTCAAGTTTGATATTAAGTCATTACAGTACCATCGAAATGTACAGGCAAACGGACTTCTTTCAGCCTTGCAATATTGTCAAGTGAGTGCTAGTGTTTTTTAGGTATTTACCCTACAGCACAGGTTGTTCACGATACATCAGTCCGGTTTCAAACATATATTTTCTGCTGGGGGAAAATAAGAGAAATATAGCCGATCGATCTTTCATAAATTAATCTACAGATGTTTGAAACCAAACCAATGACCAATGTTTCATGAACAATCTGTAGTTGTACTGTATGCATATTTGAGTATGTACTCATTATTTGATGGTTCTTCTGCCAATCATAGCCCTAAAATATGTTGTTTTGAAAAGTTAGCAAATACATGCACTTGGTTATTGGGAAATGATGTAAATTCTGTCACATTATATGGAATTTGAAATTCTGGGTGAATTTCCGAAATCATTTATATCTGATTTTGGTTTGGAAGGCGGGAAAACTCTATATAAGGACGATCAACGGATACAGTTGATTCAAGTATAGGGCAGTTGATGTAAACATCGTCACAAAATGATACGACATCGTAAATAGGTTACATTTTGCGGGGAAAATCTATATAAGGACGATACACGGATACAGTTTATTCAAGTATAGGGCAGTTGTTGTAAACATAGTCACAAAATGATACGACATCGTAAATAGGTTACATTTTGCGGGAAAACTCTATAAGTCTATATATAAGGACGATACACGGATACAGTTGATTCAAGTATAGGGCAGTTGATGTAAACATCGTCACAAAATGATACGACATCGTAAAGAAGTTAAATTTTGCGGGAAAACTCTATATAGGGACGATACACGGATACAGTTGATTCAAGTATAGGGCAGTTGATATAAACATCGTCACAAAATGACATCGTAAGGTTAAATTTGGAAAAAATGATTATAGAATGAAATAGTCTGTGATTAACATATTACATACATTATAAAATGGGCAGGGGTTTTTATATTTCCTGTATCTCTGTATTAATCATTTCGGACTGTAATTGGGACTGTTCACGTGAAAGAAATTGTATCTAAATTTTACAATGACGTACTCGTATGTGACGAAATTTACATTTCTTGACCCTATTTTGAAGAACCATACCTCGGTTAGAATTCAATTTTCTTCCAGGAATTATTGGTTGGTTATTGTTCAGCAAATTAGAACTCAAGTTTAACAATGCTGAGTTTAATTTTACTAAGTTACTGAAATGTGACGAAATTTACTTTTCCTGCCCCAACAGTATAATTTCAATGTGATGAAAAATTGGCATGGGTTCCTAAATTTCCTGTGTAAATCCATTCTAAATATAATAAGGACTATTGATATGAAGGAAAATCTATCTAAATTTTAAAATGACGTATGTGACGAAATTTACATTTCTTGCCCTTATTTTGAAGAACCATACCTCGGTTAGAATTCAATTTTCTTCCAGGAATTATTGGTTGGTTATTGTTTAGCAAATTAGAACTCAAGTTTAACAATGCTGAGTTTAATTTTACTAAGTTACTGAAATGTGACGAAATTTACTTTTCCTGCCCCAACAGTATAATATCAATGTGATGAAAAATTGGCATGGGTTTCTACATTTCTTGTATAAATCCATTCCGACTATAATAAGGACTATTGGTATGAAAGAAAATCTATCTAAATTTTAAAATTACGTATGTGACGAAATTTACATTTCTTGCCCCTATTTTAAAGAACCATACCTCAGTTAAAATTCAATTTTCTTCCAGAAATTATTGGTTGGTTATTGTTCAGCAAATTAGAGCTCAAGTTTAACAATGCTGAGTTTAATTTTACTACGTTACTGAAATGTGACGAAATTTACTTTTCCTGGCCTGCCCCAACAGTATGATATCAATGTGATGAAAAATTGGCATGGGTTTCTATATTTCCTGTGTAAATCCATTCTAACTATAATAAGGACTGTTGATACGAAAGAAAATCTATCTAACTAATTCAAGGGCTGATGTGACGAAATTTACATTCCTTGCCCCCTATTTTGAAGAATCATACCTCGAATAGGATATAATTTTACTTTATCACCATACCTATGTCGATAAACTAGTTATTTTGCCAACAAATAGCAAATAAAGTTATCATATTTTTTTTGTGACGAAATTTACAAATTTTTACCATGTTCAGGTGTTGAAATTTTGCCAATGTTAACATATCACTGCCATATAATAATTTATATGACCGGTGTGTGGTTGAAATATTGTTAATTGATCCATAGTACGTAATATATGGTGTTTAAGTTGGTATACTAATATTTACTCAATTTCACACATGTTGAGATATCGTACAAATGTATGTGACAAAGTTTACCCATTTCTGCCTTCCGTATTTGTATTTGCCTATAACAATGAAATATGTGAATAATTCCAAACACATTCAGCTCACAAAATAATGCTAGACTATTCGGCATTTCTTGTCAGGATGTCATAAACATCCCTCATATAAATTTCTTAAATGTGTGACAGAGTTTACATGGTGCTACCATTTAACGAAAAAAGTTGCTTAATATGTAGATAATAGTCATATGCAACTATCCTATAAATTTGAAATTCGAAAATTTGGTCAAACACGGCAACAAGGGGTCCATGTAAACTCTGTCACGTTTTTATAGTGTGACAAAGTTTACAACTCACTGCCGGCCGCATTGAAGCGATATCTTATCGTCTGATAAAGATATCGTTATGCAACAAAGTTTATCTAGAGGATGAAACGATTATCCTAACCATTGAGGGTTTATATAGTTTTATAGTGTGACACATTTTACATCATCGTGCCATTTAGTAGGGTCACTAATATTTACCAATATCCTCAAACTTCAATGAACGTGTCCATATATAAATAGATTTTAATTCCAAGTGTTCGTAGAATAATTGAAAACGTAGCACTGTAAATGCGCCAGCTATTCAACTTATGATAACTTAATCAAATTGATGACATTCAAGTGCATTTTGAAAAAATTTACCCGATACTATGATATTTTTTATAGTAATAACACGACGTTCAATTCAAGCCCATTCAATGACTGATGTGCGGATCACAGGCTTCGTTATTGACAATAACTGAGATTAGGCAGATATAGTGGTTCCAGTCGTTACCTGGGGACCCCAGGCTGTAATATTCAGAAAAATTGAAGCTGCGGCGGAATGACAATCTGGGATGAGTGCGGCCCAGGAATGCCAGCCGTTACGCCGCTCAGCTTAATGTAAAAACTGTATTACAATTGATAGCATCATTACAATTTCAATCACGTTTTAGAGCAATTTACACGAGAGTAGGACAATTATAACCTGTTTAATCTTGTTCGGCGTCATCGAAAACATAGGGTTACAAGGTTTCCGCTTCGATTTCCATCAATAAAAAATCCTTCTAATTTCGATTCTCTGGGCCAGCTGTCTGCTGGGTTTCAGAAGGTGGTACCAGATGCTGCTATAATTGAGCGCTCAGCTGCTCTAATTGGGTCCAATTACACCCGATACACGATATTATTCCATATAAGGCCTGATCAAGTAGCTTCAGCTCTGGTGACGTCACAAAATCTCCTAGTCGGCATACGACACGTTACGAATGTGATCACGTGCCCGAGGCTTTACGAATCAAGGTCACGTGATAGGATTAGCGGTCACGTGATAGGACTGAATGTCACGTGACCTCAGTTATCCCTTATATGGCACAACTAGCTGCAATTGATTAGGCTGAAATCCTTGACAGGCCTATAATTACCCAATTTTAAATGAACGATATCTCATCCTACAGAATGATGAGTGCGTAAACAAAATGCTTCCCGGAATCAGCACAATGCAGGGAACAAGATGCTGTTGGAATATCAATTATTCATCTTCCACCCGTAGTCCCTACAAATACGGGAAACACTTGAAATTCAGTTCAATTGCCGTAGAACTTAACTTGTATCTGTAATTCAAGAAATTATCAGCAAAGGTAAACTATACTCGTGTACACATCAATACACTACGCGTGCCACGTACAAATTGGGCGTATTACCTAATAGTAATATTAAACATTACATGCATCATATACATAAAACACAGTCGCGCCGCGCATTCATAGATCACAGGCTATCTATACATCACATCTCCGCAAGCAATCCTCGCGCGCGCGCGACTTTTTCGTTGCTTGGTAACATACGGAACGACACCATATTCATACCCGCCTAACGCGATCTCCAAAATCCATGTTTTTCTGCAAAAACCTCCATTCGTAACCTTTCACTATTGCCTTTTTTCAAAAGGGTGAAAAGGAAAAAATCACTGTCGCATGCCAAAAAAAGTGTGGACCTACCGAATATCCACCGTTGGAAAACTTAGCATCTAAGATTTTATTTGTCACATCGTCCAAGCAGTTGACTCTAGCGGAGCCGGGTGTAGGTGACCCAGTTATGAAGATTCTAGCAGTCCCTCCAAATACAGGAGTGGACTCTGGGAATGTTGCCTCAGTTGGTGTCGTGTAGGCTACGCTAGGTGTAGCGGGTGATGTTTCTGAAAACAAAAAAATGTAGATGAGACTTTTTAATATCATTTCAAACAGATGTCATATATTGTGTGAGTTTGCGGCCTAGGTAGATTGTCACACAAGGACGAACGCACCTGGGACAACGCAAGCATCAGAGCTAGTTGAGCCAGCAGCAGACTGTCCACCATCAGGACAAGGTGTACAGGAGCCGGCACCTGACGCACTGTACGTGTTGTCCGGGCATTCAGCACAACCATTCTCAGTCATGAAGCTTCCAGCCTGGCATGGAGCTGAAAAGCGAAACGGTTTGTTTATTAGATACATAAATAATAATTAAGAATTGGAGAAAGAATGTAAAAATAATTTCTTTTTTAATCAAAATGTTTTTTTAAAAGAAAGAAAAGAGTGCTTTTTGAAGTCTCCGGATGAATCACTGTTCAATCATTAAATAAGTTGCATTGAACGACAAAAGTTCTTCTTATAATTTCTTGGAGGTTAATTAACTTTTACCATAATCACAGTCATCTTCTGATGTAGATCCAGCAGCAGATAGTTTACCATCAGGACAGCTAGTACAAGAAGAAGCTCCATCACCACTGAAAGAGTTCTCTCCACATTGTTGACATCCACTGTCAGTCATGAAGTCTCCAGCCGAGCATGGTTCTAAAGTATAATTTTGTTAAATATTTATTTTTTTAAAAAGACAACCAAATGTTTTCTTTACTGATGATAGTATTTCAGCAAATCAGTTACTCTGGACATTATGCATATTCTACGAAATCTTCTAAAAAAAAGTAAACGTCAAGACCAACATTGGTAATTTAAATGCTTAGTGCAAAAAAATGGGCAAGACTATCATTATTACCATAATAACAGTCATCAACTGATGAAGATCCAGCGGAAGAAACTCTGCCTTCGGGGCAGCTATCACAAGAGGAAGCTCCATCACCACTGAAAGTGTTCTCTCCACATTGTTGACATCCACTGGCGGTCATGTAGTCTCCAGCCGAGCATGGTGCTGAAAGGAAACCGTTATACTCAAACAGACATCACCCATAGGCTCGGTAACAGAGTTCTCAAAATTTGTCATATAAAAAACTAGAAGAACAGGGATTTAAGGCAAGATAATTTACCATAATCACAGTCATCTTCTGATGTTGATCCAGCAGCAGATAGTTTACCATCAGCACAACTAGTACAAGAAGAAGCTCCATCACCACTGTAACTGTTCTCTCCACATTGCTGACATCCACTGTCAGTCATGTAATCTCCAGCCGAGCATGGAGCTGCAGAAAGTGTCATATTTTACGATATGGTAGGTTTTGTGATAATACTCTAATCGAAATTACGATAAAGTTTTTGTTAAAAATTGAATTGAAACTTCATCAATTTATAAATTCAATAGTCTAAATTGATATTCCTATAATTTTACCATATTTGCAGTCATCTAGTGATGTAGATCCAGCAGCCGAAACCTTGTCATCAGCACAACTAGTACAAGAAGAAGCTCCATCACCACTGTAACTGTTCTCTCCACATTGCTGACATCCACTGTCAGTCATGTAGTTTCCAGCCGAGCAAGGGGCTGCATGATATACAAACATTACAGCTGAGATCTTCAAACGGGAGGGCCAAAACTCAAGAAAGAGATTGGAATTGAACGACATTTTACCATGTAGGTCACAAATAATTATATTAGTAGTTTTCTGCGAAGTAAAATTAGACGATTGGAAAGTATAATATCAAATAAATGGCTCTACAAATTACAAAACGATATTTAATATCTGTAAAACATGTTGCTTTGTCATTATCTTCTTGTATTCTAAAGTTCTAATCTTCGGGATCGAATTATGCTAAAAAAGGAGATCGAATGAATTATTGAATTTGAAATGTTCCATTTAATTTGTCCTGTTATCAGATTCACGTCGTTGGTAAGGTGTAAAGATTTAATTTTAGGCTTTCATGTGCTAACGAATTTTGCAAATCCCTATGATTATGTTCTTTGTGCTTTGAATTTTTAAACTCTGCATCTCTTTTGGAATGAATTTCAAGCTATTATCAGCTCTTACTGTCACTTGTAGCACATCAATTTTTGCAAATCTGGTATAATTTGGGCTTCACGATTGCTTAAAAGTCCCAATTTGCTCTGTTCATAAACTGTCTTGCAGTGCACTGCCTCTGGCCGATTGTCTTTTGTTTTTGCGCTTACGACACTTTTATACAGATTTGTTCCATATCAAACTGCGAGCAGAACTGTCAATACCACTAAACACCATTGAGAAATACACGGGGCTCTTCCACGGCTTGCTGGTGATTGAATAATGTTTGGAGTTGTAACGATTTTGTGGCTATGACTAATAAAATTGTGTAATGCAATTACAGATTAAACTGTATCACGGAGTTTCTAATGTTTAGATCTAAACATCGTATCTATGACGTATATATGACGTAGCTATGACGTCGTATCTATACGACTTGTTCTTCTTGACAATTGTCATGTTCCGACCGAATACTACTTTGCACAAAAAAGGTAAAGGATGAGGAAGCGATAAAAATTCTCAAAAACTAATTTTTGGCCTTGGATGATGAATGCATATTTTATTGATTAAAAGGTGAATTCAACGAGTTTGCAAACGTAATGTCACAACTTTGTACTCACCATAATCACAGTCATCTTCTGATGTTGATCCAGCAGCAGATAGTTTACCATCAGCACAACTAGTACAAGAAGAAGCTCCATCACCACTGAAAGAGTTCTCTCCACATTGCTGACATCCACTGGCAGTCATGTAGTCTCCAGCCGAGCATGGTTCTAAAGTATAATTTTGTTAAATATTTCTTTTGTTAGCAAGACATCAAAATATTTTATTTATTGATGAAAGTATTTTCAGTAAAAAATATGGGCAAGACTATCGTGATTACCATAATAACAGTCATCAACTGATGAAGATCCAGCGGAAGAAACTTTGCCTTCGGGGCAGCTATCACAAGAGGAAGCTCCATCACCACTGAAACTGTTCTCTCCACATTGCTGACATCCACTGACAGTCATGTAGTCTCCAGCCGAGCATGGAGCTGAAAATGTGTCCATTAACATTACGATTAAAAAAGACTATATATGAATTGTTTATGATTTTTTGGGAATCAATTTTTTAATCTATACTGGTGTTTGATCTTTATATAATCAAAAACTTAATAGATTTATTTTTTTCGGTAGGATGTACTTACGTTATAACTATTCATATTATAAACATAGGCATTACCGTAATAACAGTCATCAACTGACGAAGATCCAGCGGAAGAAATTTTGCCATCGGGGCAGCTATCGCAAGAGGAAGCTCCATCACCACTGAAAGAGTTCTCACCACATTGTTGACATCCACTGGCAGTCATGTAGTCTCCAGCCGAGCATGGAGCTGACAATTGTTTCATTTACTGATTATGATTTTTTAAAAACCATTTTTTGCATTAATTATGTGAATCATTGTTTGTCTGCATTGATTCTTTCTGCAATCGCAAAGATAACAAGCTTTTTCGGTACAATGAATTTTATCCAAAGTACTAAAATCTTAAAATTATGAACATAAATATTAAGTATTACCGTAATAACAATCATCTGCTGATGAAGATCCAGCTGCTGATAGTTTACTATCAGGACAACCACTACAAGAGGAAGCTCCATCACCACTGAAAGTGTTCTCTCCGCATTGCTGACATCCACTGACAGTCATGTAGTTTCCAGCCGAGCATGGAGCTGAAAATTATGAATTATCATTAGCGTAAAAAGCGTTATCAATATATTTGTTCCATTTATAAGCGTTGAGGCCGTGTAATATCGTATTTCATCACATACAAGGAATATACATAATACAATAAATACAAGGAACGTACATAGTACAGTAATTAATACTAGGAACATAACGAATACACGTAATAAGGTAATACAACAAAAACACGTAGTACAACGAATACACGTAGTACAACTAGATAACAAGGAATACAAAGTAAATAGAATTAGGTAGCACTAAAACACACCGCCTGAAAACAGATTGAGTTAAAGAATGGGAGGGTTGGACTTACTTAACACTAAATAAAAACATAAATTATTATTCAAGTTAATCTTGAGAAGTTATTATTATATATTATATATATTATATTATTTTCAATTCATTTTCATGGCATTTAGGTTTCGAAATAGATCTTTGTACTTATCGCAGCCATTAAAATTAGGTAAGACATACCATATTCACAGTCATCTGCTGATGTAGATCCAGCAGCTGCAACTTTACCCTCAGGACAACTAGTACAAGAAGAAGCTCCATCACCACTAAAAGAGTTCTCTCCACATTGCTGACACCCACTGCCAGTCATGTATTCTCCAGCCGAGCAAGGTGCTGAACATTTTTTCATTTACCTTATGATTTTAGGAAAACTATGTTTGGATTATTTAATTTATGTAAAATCATTGTTTTTCTTCATTGACTATTTCCACAATCCAAAAGGTAATACGCTTTTTTGGTACAATGTATTTTATCCGAAGTACTAAAATTGTGAACATAAATATTAAATATTACCGTAATAACAATCATCTGCTGATGAAGATCCAGCTGCTGATAGTTTACCACGTGGACAACCACTACAAGAGGAAGCTCCATCACCACTGAAATAGTTCTCTCCACATTGCTGACATCCACTGTCAGTCATGTAGTCTCCAGCCGAGCATGGTTCTGAACATTGCATGTGTAAGAATATTAGAATGAAGTACTAAATCAGGACAATGCCAGATAACGGATTATGGTCAAAATAAGGACCGATGAAATGAATCTTTGGTAACAGTGATGCAGATAAGATTGTATTACACTTTACAATTTTTTTACCATATTCGCAGTCATCACTCAACGTAGATCCGGCAGCGGAAATTTTGCCCTCAGGACAATTATTACAAGAAGAAGCTCCAGGGCCACTGAAAGTGTTTTCTCCACATTGCTGACATCCACTGTCAGTCATGAAGTTTCCAGCCGAGCAAGGACCTGATAATAGAAATAGGTTTGAGTCAAAGACATCATTAAATTATCCCCATACGTTCCCATGGGACCTACATCGTATTGGTCAAAGGATTTAGAAGATTAATACGACAAGATGCTCCAATATAATGCTCCAATACAATCTAAAAACCTCAAATTAATATCGCGATAAGCTGATCATTCCCCTATTGGTTAAACCGTCTGAAGCTCAGATGGATACTTGATAGGTACGAATTGTGACCAGTAATTAATAATTAATTATTAATCATGACTAATGACAGGTTATAAACGAGCGATACCCAGACTACTCAAGAACAAGATTGGTGTACCCAGATAGCCAGAGTTTCTAGTTTAAACGGGATGATGATATAAGGTACAATTTCATACCGGTCTAGTTCGATTCGAGAATACAACTAGGAAATGTTATTAAAAAAATGTGCTATGTTTTGCGTGATAAATCAAAGTTATGATCCCTTCTTTGCGTGATAAATCAAAGTTATGATCCCTTCTTTGCCCACCATATCGACAAAATGTGCTATGTTTTGCGTGATAAATCAAAGTTATGATCCCTTATTTGCCCACCATATCGACAATCATAAACTGATGTAGATCCTGGAGCGGAAATTTTCCCAACGGGACACTCAGTACATCGACTAGCTCCATCACCACTGTAAGTATTCGCTCTGCATGGGTGACATCCACGACTGTTCATAAAGCTTCCAGCCAGACACGGTTCTGTGAATTGTTAAAACTGAATTTTAGATGATTTTTTCTGACAAATGGCTTTCTGAGATAAGAAATGGTTTTAATATTTTACATAGAAGGGTTATAAAAAACACTTACTCCATTCACAGTCGTTGTTAGATGTTGATCCAGCGTTAGATATTTTGCCTGATGGGCAGTCGGTACACGATGAAGCCCCGGCACCACTTTTGGAGAATAAGAATATCAAAAAAATTGATTACCTAATAATTTCATCATAATCAAGATAAAAAACAGTTCCACTCAGTAAGTTTATAACCACACAGTTAGTGTTAACAAAAGAATAACAAAACTTATCAAATAAAGAAATCATCATTATCAAACGAATAAAAGTAAAAATAACAGCTACAATAAGGTACAATACCTGAAAGTATTCACTGGACATTGCTGACAGCCTAGTACTCCATTATTGAATTGTCCGGCAGCACACTCAAGTGGTGCCTCTGGTTCAGTGTCTCCTGAATCTGCGGAGATATCATTTATTCTAAACTGTTGCACCACGCGTAGAATATCCATATTACTATTATTTGTATAATTGTACTCTGTTACATAAGAACATGTACGTTTTTTACGTCTTTAAATGTCGTCTTATTATAGTTTGCCAAGATTTATTGAAGGCCACATTTAAAAAATCTATAACTAATTAAAGTATGTGAATTATGTAAAGTATATGAATTCTACCTACCATCTGCCTCGCAGTTGTTGACTGATATGGATCCTGGTGGGGAGGTGGAACCGCCCGGGCAACCAACACAACTCTGTACTCCGACCATCGCAAACCTAGAAAACAAACGATACATTACACAATACACACAGGCAGTAGGTGAATCGGGGTTATACTATAATATATATATAGACAAACAAATCATCTCCAACGACTACGCTACTCAATCTGGTCAAGTGCTTGAATCTTGATGGAAATAATATTACCAAAATGAAACCTTAATAATTTCAAGAATCAATGCTTAAATAAAGTGCTCGAATAGTTCTCAATAGTCTCAGTTCAAACCTCATGTTATAGGTGTTGGCTGGACATGATTGACAGCCCGAATCAGTCATATAATGTCCTTGCATACATGGACCTGGGGAAATCAAGTTTTAGTTGAACTTGAATTGAGCCGAATTTGTCTTGCCTCATATCATTAATGCTGTTTTCATGAAATCATGTATAAGTATTTGCACTAAAACATAAACCTTACCGTAAGTACAGCCAGTAAGTTTCTTCACTGGAACCTAAAACTTACCGTAAGTACAGTCAGATAAAGATGTAGAAGCGTACGCTGAGATCTTCCCAGATGGACAGCGGGTACACTGTGTTGCTCCAGCTTCACTGTAGTAGTTCTTCGAGCAACTCTTACATCCTTCACTTGACATATACTTGCCAGCCTCGCATGGTTCTACGAGAAGTGTGATTATCATTGCCTATACTTTGATACAAAGAAATTGTCGGTTTAAAAGGATATCATCAGAATCATGTTCGACAATTATCAGAAGGTAAATGTTACTTTTCTAATAAGAGCCGATCTTCTGGCAGAAAGAGTAAAGCTTTTTCCGCATTTAACGGCTGTTTTATCGTAGAAAAAGCGTACAGCAGTCGCCAGTAAAAGCTTAGTAAATCTAAAGCGCGAAATGATTTGAAGTATCATTGCAAGTTTGTATCTTTGTACCTTTTTCACAGTCGCTGGAACCAGCCTCTGATACTTTTCCACCTGGGCATGCTGAGCACTCCCTTACCACACCTCCCTGCATGTAAGGTATTATTAACGGTCAACTTTTCCAACATGTTATACATTACTACAAATCTTCTTATTAAGATTACATCGATCGTTCAGAGGTGAATAAAAAGAAAGGGCAGACTACAGGGTGAGTTGAAAATAGTGTGTGGAATGTAAAGATCGATAATTTTTTTATGAAGGAGCAAATTTATGGCAGACTTTTGATAGTTCTGGAACTATTAAAATTAAACATTATTCTCGTATATTACTAACCGTACTGTACGTATTTTCAGGACACCTGGAGCAACTCGTAGCTCCTTGAGCTGCGAAATGGCCTGCTGGACAGGTCACTGCTCCATCTAAGGTAGTTATAATGTAAGGTCATGTCGATCATATTTATAAATGAAAGGTATGTCATGTGTTTTACAATAAATAACATTACATGCCTTCTGTTCATAGTTGGTCCGTACGTACGTAAAAACAGCAGGGTACTCAAGGTACGACAAATTTGATTTAAGGTACGTAAAGCTTTAAAATTGTTTCACACGCACCAATTTTTTATTTGTCTACGGCTGAAGACAGTGAATCTGAGAATGATATGTCTGCATTGATTCCGCTTAATGTCTTTAACTTTATCTTGATGATAAATTGTACAATTTAAACTTTTTAAAGGTGTTTAAATCGTGTGAAAATAGCGTCGAAAGTTGCGAAAGTACTTTAGGGTACTCTCGGGGTACTCTTGAGTACGGACTAACTATGCTTCTGTTAAGATATTAAGATGATAATATTAACAGTCTAAATAAGACCTTGAAAAGACTCACTTCTTCAGACTCAGGATAACAAGGTTACTACTTAGTAACTTAGGAACTAGTTAATTATACCTAGTAACTCAGTAACTCACCTTCTTCAGACTCAGGATAACTAGGTTACTACTTAGTAACTTAGTAACTAGTTAATTACCTAGTAACTTAGTAACTCACCTTCTTCAGACTCAGGATAACATTCATCTAGAGAAGCGGCACCGAGCCCCGCAGTGGTTTCACCTTCAGGACATGACGTACAGAACATGGCCCGACTTTCTGAGTAAGCCCCTTTAGCGCACTTAGCGCATACTTCATCTCCAGCTGCGTTTCCAGAATAGTAAGTCCCCGGCGGGCAATCTAACAGGGATAGCACTTTATCAGATTATGTTAAACAGAATTATAGTGATTCGATTTGATCGGGTACTCCCAGTTTCAAATTCACTTGGAGATATTTTGAGATTTATTAGCTACCGCAAAGACACAAATAAAGTGTAATAGTGATCAGTTATAGCGTAACGAAGGGCCCTGCCGACCCCGCGGCTGTGGGGGGGGGGGGGGGGGGGCGGCTCCATCTTAGGGGGGGGGGGGGGGGGGGGGGGCGCGGCCAAATCGTCGGACAATTTGAAAAAAACTTGACTAAGGTACTAGCAAAACTGCGCGTTTTGCTCTAGAAACGCACTTTTTTAGAGATTTTACCGGCGTAAAATCTTTAAAAAATTTGTTTCAATTGGGGCGCCCAAAGGGGAGGGGGTGCCAACAGAGAAACGCTTTTTCAGCGGAAGAGGGGGGGGGGGGGGGGGGGTGCGGGGCCCGGGGGGCAACAGGCAACGTTACACCACTGATACTCTGATAGTGATCGAGGAGGATTAATTACTAATTATCAAAAACAGCTGGTAAATAATAATTGCGTCTTACCCGGATCACAAGACATTTGATCATCACTCGTTACCCAGCCATCAGTACAGTCATAACATATGTGATCGCCGCTAAAGGAATCTGGAACTCGGAATATTGATTCAATATTATAATATGTTGTTGAATAATTCATTATAAACACAATTCTTTGTACTCTTTTGTTATTGTAGTTTACAAAATTCTGAAAATAACATAAACGAAGTCCTGAAGGATATGATCATTTGATAGAGATTCAAAGCGATCGATTGTAATTCCGTTAGACTTGAGATCTGAATGATTCGAATCTTCAAACTTAAATAAAATTGTATATTTCTTACCCACAAAAACAGCTTGATGCTTCGGGCAATCTGTCCAAGCTGAAAGAAAACTGTTACCATTTTGTTTCCTGACAAACTTTATTGTACAATTAATACTCAGAGATTTACAAAATAGAATATTCACACCTAATATTACCCTACCTTATATTGGGTCAGACATTACCATGGCAATTTGACTTTAAATCGTTTAATCCGTTTTTCAAAAATATCTAAAACCTATAATAATAAAACCTATAATAATAATAATGCTTCGTAACCTGATGCTGTTTCTGTAAGATGGGCGATCAGGATAACGACCACTGCACGGCTCAGCATGATCATAGAGCTGTAAACAGTTATAAAGTGATGTTTCTATAATAATATTATTAACTGCCTTTTCCCGTTTTCTGACAAAAGTGCTTAAAGACGACTTAAAAATGCAAGGTTTTGAAGCATAATATGTTTGACACATTTATAACAAACTTTGGCATTTTAAGCTGTTTCAAAAGGGGGTTTGAGGGAGCCAGCCTTTAAGCACATCTGTCAGAAAACGGCAGCATTTTAGGATGCATCAACAATATACTAACAGTCACATTTGATAAGATAAATTTGCTGTTAGCTGCATATAGGTATAACTAATATCAATTATATTTCTAATGATGATTGTGCGTACTACGATCCATAAAATTTGTGGATAATTTGTGGATAAAAAATGAAAAGTATTCAGCAACATTGGATAGACACACTTGAAGACTAAAATAATGGTTATAGGATAATATTTTAAAGTAACGAAAAATATCATGCAAATCTCCTCCTAACATTCGATTCAAACACCTAATTAATTAAATACCTGGTTACTAGTTTGTCAATTCCGTAAATAAGCAAAACATTACCGTGTAGACAGGCTTTTAATTGACAAAAAGGAATTCGAAAAGAGCTTTCCAATATTCTGGCCAGTTGTCTAAAAATAACATTTGGAACATACCCGCAAAAGAATTGTTTTACATGACACAGTCTGTATGTAAATAAAAATCTATTTTCGTTCGTCTTTACACACGTTTTATAAGGGCCGGGCTTGACTGTATGTATATTGGATTCCAAAAGTGAATATTTCAATAGCTTAACTAAGTTACGCTGTAAAGTATACTTAACTGCCAACGTACCACACAAGCTGAAGTTCCTATAGTTCATGGTAACATTGTACTAGGTCACATCCATATTTGTCGCAAAAGAGAACCGCTTGAAGTTCTGATCTGTAGTCATCGAATTAAGTGTGCAGTGTCTGGACTCAGCTTACAAGGTTGATTTAATCACTAGAGAAAATCTTAAATAGCGCAGAGGAGAGTGAGCAAGAATAAGTCAATTACAATTTGACACGACATTGAAAAAGATGGAGCTGAAAGCACCCGGATTTATTTTAACTGTAATAATTCGTTTTTTGCAAGATAATCATATTGAATAAATTGCCAAAAATGTTCCGGCTATACCTTCGTATATAGGTTATAACACGTACAGAAAACGAAGGTAACAAAACTTTGGGGTGCATAAATTTTACCGCGAGATATTTGAGCATGGAATTTGTGGCCAATTTTGTATTTCTTGATACTGCAGTCAAAAGGCCATAAAAGCATTCGACATAAAAAAATTGTTCTTTGATATATATCTCTAACAGTTTTTACAGAATTTCGTGTTAAACTTTTTCCGTGAAAATCGTGAGAGATATACCACTGAAAATGTAAAGTTGATGTCATATTATGTATGAATGTATAACTTTTTTTTAACTTCAAAAAACTATATAATATATCGAATTGTTTTATGTGTAGTAGGATAGCTGTGTTGATTACTGCAAGATAAATTGTAAATGATAGGTATGCACTAAAATTCAAGTGAAGAATGAGTCTAGCGAACTCGATCCACATGTTAGTCAGGCAGTGGCTCACACTCTGAAGTCTGATGACATCTCTCTTTTGGAGATTTTCGGACTCACTGACTACCTATAGTTGAGTGTGTACCACAACATATAGTGTACCACAACCTAGCTGCCTAAACGTTCGGACCCCCCGTCCTATGTGGCAAGCCTGCTCACTGAACAAAACAAAGAAAAGAAAGCAAATCACTATGTACCCAACATTTATCAATTATCAATAAATATAATAGACATGGCACGAAAACGTTTACAATTCAGACAGACCCCGCGGATCTAACTCAAGACATCACTGAGTGCCCCCAGTTTTCCCATGACAACGGAATACAATTCAACTTGTTTTGATAATAATAAAGTTTATTTTATAACCCGGGTCATCCCGCTAATTCTCACTCAAAAACCCGGACAAATCATATAAATCTTGAGGCCAAATTGTCTAATGTCTAATATCTTCCTACGGTGTGATACCCATACTATGAATATTTTATTATATTATTATATTATATATTATAAAGAACGGTTTGACTGTAGAATATGATTCTTTTTCATTTCTGTAGAATTTCCAACTGGGCAGAGGATCGAATCATTGTATTTCCATTCTAATTATAGACCTACGTATTCATGAACTGCAACTTCTCGGCGCCTTTACTATCAGACAAATCCTTTTCATTGATGTAAAAATTAATCGGACTGCATGTACTTTTTCCTGGACCTATTCAAAATTACTATTGAGAAATAGAAGGTTCGTCTGCAATATGTGTAACGAAGATATATAGTATATATAGATCGAAACAGCTATTTTCTAAAGAGTGTCTGTTTCATATCCGGCCTAAAAATAATATACGGATAAATTTTAGCGTAATTTGATCACAAATTATGATTGTAACAATTTTTACTTATTCATATTGTATGATCATGTTTTTATCGAGACATATTTCTAAGAAACAATTAAGAATTCATTATTAAATTAGACTTAATTATAATACCTCATTATCATCATAATTTGCAAAATGATCACACAAATCCTAATGTGCGAGCGAGAAAGTGTTTGAGATCATCATAAGATTTTAAAATAACATCCTGCAATAACTGGAGCCACTGTAACTAGCGTGTACCAGGTACCTGTTAAACGATGAATATTTTGAATACATTGCTAAACAACAGGCTACAAGCAGCCAAAAGTGAATTTATTAATTCCTCAGAGTAACTTTTAGTAGTTGATCAATTTCGTGCTCAATCATGCTATTAATAACTTAATAAAATCATGATAGCTACTATTGAAGACGTTATAAAAGACGTTAAACCGATGCGGGTATAGTACTTAGTAATAATTGACGAAAAATTGATAAAAACAGGAAGATCTAAATAAAAGTTGACGACAAGTTGATAAAAACAGGAAGATCTAAATAAAATTTGTCGAGAAGTTGATAAAAGCGGGAAGATTTAAATAAAAGTTTAAAAAACAGGTTTGAATAATCCTCATGGACATGATTACAAGGAAAAAAAAATATTATGAAGATCAGGATTAAAACGTCTAACAACAAACGGTAATGTAACTGTACAAGAGACATCATTAGTAACCAGAGGCCAGCGCGCCCTAAATGATTTAGGCGGGGCCACAAAAACACAATAGCGGAGACAGGCCACTGTCTCCTCTATAGTAAAACACAGTAAAAGCGATCCAGATAATCAAGTTACAGTCAGTTAGGGTGGATGTCAAGTGGAAGCCGACTAGAAATCACACATTATCCTGCACAGAGATCCTGTAGCAGACTCATAGGAAGTAAATTAACCACCTTATTATCCCGGCTACGGAGACTTGTTAAGATAATGAAATATTTCTAGTCACTGACTCGGACCACTAACGAGCTCCAAACAACATTTCACGGCTACTTCCAGGTGCTAGTTGCTTCATGTGTGAAGGAGCTGTTTGGAAATCATACGGAAGTACTTGGAGAGCTGAGTGATTTGTAGGCGGAAGATTGTAGGTTATTTTTCTGGAAGAGTTGAGAGTTAAAGAGACGGATCTACATGATATTTTAACGTAACACGATATCTCCGTAAAATATGAGAATATCCAGATTTCAGTTCAAACTTAACTTAATGAAAAATAACGATCCAATCACCAATGTAATTTTAATACAGCATAGTCTTTTTCCCCACACTACAAATTTATACCCAGCCAATAGACATAAGATAACGAGATATTCATAATTCAAGCACACATTATTTCTGCCAAAATCTTCGCAACAATAAATCACAACGTTATTAAGAAATGAGAAATATAATGCCACGGTTAAGGATAAGTTTTCTGCAGTAAAAGAGTGTTAGTTAGGCGGTAACACCAGTGAAGTGAGAACTTTGCTAAAATATTTGTCCCGTTTTGCACGTACTGCAGCTCCCTCGCAACTTTTAAACACTTTTAGAGGGATTATATGATAATGGGTTTGGTTGGGATGATCCCAATGCTTTATTGGAACCTGATCCCAATGGGATCAGGTTCCAATAAAGCATCGGAAACATTGATCTTTTGTTATCAAACTCAATTACAATTAGATCTTACTAATACTATCTTTTAACAAGGTTTTACGACCCAGCAGAGTAGTAGATCATAATGGTACTTAGAATTATGTCTGGTAGCACTCCCTTAAACGCACTAAGCCATATCACTGACACGACAGATATCTAGTATCAAAGATGGAGCAGCTAGAATGCAAGCGTACTTCAGCCGGTTTTTACAAGTACAACTCCTGGTGCAAACAACACTGAAGCACTGAATACGGAGACTTACTGCAAACCATAATTTACATTATCCCCAGCGAGACTATCAGATGCTTAGTGCTTCCCACAATCTGGGTCCCACCTCTGGGAAAAAAGGGACGATAATTATAATTATATAATTATATAATTATAGATCAAACCACCATGAATAAACAATTCATCATAGATCTTCAAATACCGGTTCGAATAGAGAAATCTATCAAAACCGACCAATATACTGGAATGTTACTTTACCTTAACAACTCCTGGCGCAAAGATCAACACTGCAAATACAAAGACTTAGGTACTGCAAAACATCATAGACAATACCCCCAGCGAGGCAATCACCCAGAATCTGGGTCCTAGATGGGTCACGAACAGACTCCGGACGTGGGGTTGGATACATATCACCAATGATAACTATAATTTACTACACTAGACTAACAATCTTCAAAAATTCCTGACTTTTGCACTGTCTATCACACAGATCTAACAGCAATAATAGGGAAGCTTGTAAATACTTCTCACCTTATTCAAAAAATAACATCATCATACGGAATTGGATACTCTCGGAGATCCGATGGATATTACTGGGCCGCGCTCAGCCTGTCATTCCGCCGAATCTCTATGTTTATGAACATGATAGCCTGAGGTCCCCAGGTAAGATGGATATAGCGGCACACACTGGATTGTGGGGAACTCAAAAATCAAATAAACTGAAAAAAAGCATAAAAGTTCTATTAACTGGTCAACATATTACCAATAGTTTTCACAAAGTAAACGGACGTTGCGCAATAACAAATAGGATTATGCTATTTTAAGATTTCCGTTGTCGATCGCATCATTGTTAGAAAAATCTGTAAAGTCTCACGGAATTCTGCAGAGACGATTAATGATGTAATTTTGACAACAATTGTCATGATACGAGACAATGCCATTTGAAAATAAACAAATTATATCTTTCTACAAGTATGCAGTATGATCTAATCAGCTTAACCAAGGTATCTGATAAGATCTTTAGTCAAGGAAACCTTGTCCAGGGAAAGTGTACTGCGTTATTGAAGAAGATTAAACCTGGCAGTGGCACAGAACAAAAAAAAACTTAGGTGAGTCAGGAATCAGGATCCGATGTAGTGATGCCATTTTGTTTAAACATATCCGGTAATCATATTTGCCCAATTTCCTAGTTGGTAGTCGGTTATATTCATTTAAAAAAACTTTAGTGGGTAAAACCGACACCGGAAACTCGATTGGTCATGCCCTTGAAAAATTACATAGAAGCCGGATAAAATTGCTAGTTATAATTTGATGAGAACTGTGAACGTATAAGGTAAAGTTTGATGACGTAACAGAATCCGACAAGCCGGTAATGTCGTCAATGGTTCCAATGGAATAACCTACTATACATATAATAGCGTTTACCGAACTATTTTATTCGATCAATACATGCCATTACTAACATCGTTGATCGCCATTAAAAGATTTAAGAAACAAATCTTCAGATTACTCAATGAAATAGTTTTATACAGCTTAATTTGTGGGATCTACGCAGTATCATTGGTAGGATTGGTTCAAAGGGTGCCGTGTGCTTTTACAACCTTCATATTTGTCATATACAATATACACAAAGCTGGAATTATATTTGTACGGCTTAGAAATCAGCATGCACCCTCTCCACCGAACTGAGATGATGGATCCGGCAGCGTCTGACAAAAATTATAGCTGATCTGAAACATATTTCATTCTTTTAAATGTTCTCATAGAAATAAAAATGTCCTTCGAAGCGGTCTTTGAATTTCTGTTCCGTTCGTTCCGCGGAACAAATTTTGACGAAAGTCGATTACCTCGAGATCCTATAACTATAATACAATAAGTAATAAGTGCTACACGTTGTATAAAGCCTCTCTCCGGCCGGCGCGCGAAAAGGGGTTAGGTACAACATGTATCAACGAGATCCTACTATACGATTTTCTTGCAAATAATAAAATTGCTATGAGACGGATAATCTGTGCAAGTTTGAGCGAATTTGCTAACTTTTAGATATCACTTCAAACACAAGAAAATATTTCAAATTCAAATCGGTGGTCGGTTCGCACCGGTTCGCAAGTTTATAATTATATTTGGAGATCCTACTAATTAGTAATTACTATACGATTTTCTTGAAACTTTGCAGATAGTATTAGTAAGATGTGGAGATCTGTGCTCAGTGCTACTGAGAATAAGTATAACATGCAATTGCGTGAAAACTGGCACTATAATAATAGCAGTCATCTGTTTTTAAATACTGAATCTATTCTGACAGTTGAAGTTGCATTTTTTACCAGTTATACTGACCATGTGATTTATTTTGACAGTCGTGATACCCATCCCCTACTTTAGAATATACTCGAATACATTTTGTGACAGGGATTGGGAAGGAAGGAAATAGATCCGTGACCGAAATTCCGTAACTTTATTAAAAAGCATCATTCTTATAGCACAGAAGCGTTATGTGCTATAATATATAATGCGCCAAAAGCACTGGACCGAATTTACTTCAGCACATGACAATGACAGCCATTGGTTTCTAGCTGAGTAGCAGTAAGTAGTAACCAATCTATCTAGAAAGTTAAACTTAAAAGGAATAATAGTTCTGATCGGTGCGCCTTATATTGGGGTTTTAATATTCAATTTATTTATATAAATTTAATCGTTAAAAAATGTAAACACGCAATTTTATCATTTAGTTAAAAAAGAGCGGAAAAAACATGAATAAACGTTCCTCAATTAGTAATTTACCGAGTTGTGGCACATTATAGTCGGGTGACTCTTTTTGTTTTTATAAACAACTAAAAGTTTTAACACTACCTATTTAGCTACTACTCGTGATTGTAGCAGTTCTTTTCGAAAATTTTAGAGAGATCACATATAATGGCTTTTTACAGTCCTTGGATACAATTTGCCCGCATGGCTTATAATAGTAATTATACTGATATAATATTTGCTAAATGTCGTATCGAACTTTTGAAAAAAAGCGCGATTTAAAATGCGCAATGTAAAAGTAAAAATGGTGGTTGTTAAAACATTACCGCAAAAAAGGGTTTCACGACTCGAAATTTTGTTGATGTATATAATAAATGTATTCTTTTGAGAGATCTGCTCAAGTCACTAGCTAGACCTAAAGTTCGAATAAAGTCCGATAACGTAGTTAAATTAAATACTGATCGTTCATTTAAATGTCCGTTCAAAATTATGTCCGTCCACGCAATGTCCGGTAAAATAACGTCCGATAAGGTATATTTGAGTTATATACATGGTCACTCCCTCAGAAGCTCGTGGAATTGGGAATTGTACATAATTGCAATGATTGTCGTGAGCCCACACAACTGATAATTAATAGTAATACAAGGTATAATAGAACAGTGAAAACTGGTATATCTGTTTTTGATAGTTTTGAGATAAATGTATTTTACTGATTTATAAGATTCTATATCATGTGTAAAACACACTTCTAAAAAATGGTATATCTGTCTATATACCATTTTTAAAACTAGAATTATTCCAAACTGGTATATCTCACGATATACCATTTTTTCTATACTATTAACAATAAAATAATTTGACTGAGAATGGTATATCTGAAGATATACCATTTGGGTTGGCTAAAGTCTATAAAATGTGTATAGATATACCGGTTTTATAGAAGATAAGTTTCTTGAAGGTGGTATATCTGCAGATATACCATTTTGTTTTCATGATTGTTAAAAGCTGAAACGGTATATTGTAACGTATACCAGTTTTGGAAAAATAAAATTTCACTTTTTTTCAAAAATTTCTTCAAAATTGTTCAAAAAAAGTTCCAAAGATGCACCTGTTCACCCTGAAGACTATGTGCTACCTGCGCAAAATTGGTATATGTTCAGATATACCAGTTTTGCATGTGGTCCCTCAAATACAAATATCACCCTCACGAAAAAGACGGTTCAGTTGGGGGTGTTAATATTTACTTGTTAACAAAACATTGTTAATGTTACTAAAATACAATACTTTACACTGTTATAGCGTTCGCAGTAGTTTCCTTACATCTCAGGCAGAGGTTATAGCCGCGTGCCCATTAACATATTATAGTATTATTGAGATATTCTTGTTATATTTCAGTTTTTAGCTAGGTCGAGTAGCCAATAAATTATTTCGCATATTTAGTAATAATCAAGGATCTGCTTGTAGGTTTACAACCTACCAGGACGCGCGCCGAGTTGGACTCGTCGACGTCCAATATATGGAACAGATATTTTACGAGTATCACCCGTTAAGGATCTGCTAAAGTAATAATCAAAGATCTGCGAATATGCCCGTAGACACGTCTTTCGCTCCGAGGTTTGAGACCTGGAACAGCTCAAGGGACCCCTCAGAAACAAATTTGGCTTGGGTAGACTTTCTGAATATGGGGTAGTTTTGCGCAATTGACAACGCCCTTTTTTGGCGCTTTTGCGATATCAAAACCCACATATCTCAACTTCTGATTGGAGAAAAGAAATCAACTTCGGTATGAAAATGGTCAGAATCAACATATTTAGGGAGGTATAACATGATTTCGAAGTCCTCACACTTAAGTTTGATGAGTTATATGACCACACCCTTTTGCGGTCTCGCGAGTAACAATTATCACACTTATTTCAGGATATCTCAGCTTCTAATTGGAGCTAAACGCTCATATTGGGCATTGAAATGGTCAGAATCATCACATTGAGTGAGGTAGAGTATGGTTATAAAGTCTACAGACTTCAGGTTGTTCAGTTATTAGGTCAAACCCTACTTTATTTATTTTACAGTGTTCACTACTTCGGTCACTAATTGGCATGTCGTCAAGATGTATAGTTCACATAACTTTCCTATAATTACATACGCACTTAACTCATGGGGTATCTTAACTCATTGTGTCTAGTGTCTTTTATTTGTTTGTGAACTATATATTTATAATTATCTGATCTTATTCTTCGTTATTTGCCTCAACACAATATGTTTTGCTTCATGTTTGTTCAGTATAATCCCATACATAGGAATTTATCATGTGAATCTCAGTACATGTGATTAATGATGATGAAGAACAGATTTGTATTCATTTTCTTGGGATGTCTCCTTGTAGTCCATGCCAAGGGCTACACAGGTAAATAAGATAACTTATAGGTTTCTTTATCGAAATTAATTAGCTAAATAATGAATATATAAAAAATGTGTATTCTCTTCGAATTGGAAAACATGAATTAAATTCTTGGAACTTTTAAAGGGAAAGCCTCGTTTAATGAATGTTTTATTATTTAAATCCACATTAATTATGAAGGAATGGACTCGAAGATGTGACCTTACAATGATAGTAAAAATTAATGACTTCATATATTTGTATAATTAATCCATTTTAATCGATTACCTCTATTATATTCGTTATTTTAGAGACGAAGATAACGTGTGCTGACAAACTATGGGCTATCTCCCACATGGTCAATAACGAAGAAAATCTCGACTATTCCTTGAATGCTGGCGCTAATGGCTTGGAAATGGATCTGACATTTGACGTAACCGGTACCCCGGCAGATTTCTACCATGATTGGCTTTGTGACTGCAAATGCTCTAGCTCAGCTGAGGTCTGCAAGTTTGATGTGTGTGAGAATGCTCGTCCGTCCAAAGAAGTCCTGGGGTATTTCATGTCCCACAAAAAGATGGGACAAGTTGCCATGTTGTATATTGACAGCAAGGTGGACGAAGTCCCGGATAGTTTAATAGAACAAGCAGGAGTTAACATGGTTACCATGCTGGAGGAAGTTGTTCTAACTCAGGGTTATAAAGGAATTGTACTTATTGGGGCAGCTAACGAGGATTATTTGAAGTCAGTGGCCGCAACGGCGAGCAAATCACCTTTCAAAGACCAGCTCTTCATCGGTTATGACTGGCATACAGACTTTAAAGACGGATTGGAGTTTCTAGCCGACTTGAAGTACCCCAATAAAATAGCCTCGACGGGTATTTTCAGATGCCTGAAATGGTTGATTGGCTACGAAGATGAAGCTGTACTGGGACGAGTCAATAAAGCCCGAGGAGTGATCAGCGACATGATCATCTGGACATTGGACAAAACTGGAGAATACGAGAAATACTACAGCTACGGAGCCAGAGGTCTCATTTCCAACAACATAAAACAACTAGTGGACTGGGCTAAAAGAAAGGGTCACGAGCTGTACACTACAGGTATTTCTTTGTTCGTTATGGAGTTTTTAAATTTTATAATAACTAGCAGGAACCCGTGTAACCCTAAAATGGTGTCAAGACTAAAACAATATTACTTATTTAATTCGCGTTTTTGACACCACTTGGGGTACCAAATTTTGGGCCCTAAAACTCCTATTTCTTGGCCAATTTTTTATTTTTTCATGCTGATTTGGAGGCCATTAAAGCATTTGACCCAGTCAAAAAAGTTTCAGTTGTATATCTTTTACAGTTTTTTGCAGAATTTCGCGTTAAAGTTGATGCCGTGGTGTCAGTAAAATGGCACGGATAAATAAATATATATATTAAACTTTAAAACTTGAAATTACCAAGGAGAACACTAACGAACTCGTTTTGGCTATACATCAATTCAATATCGTCTCGCTTTATATATAGTAAGATGCTTTTTAACTTTTGGGTAGTATTACTTTTTCTGTTGGGTCAGAAATAACCATTGTAATTTGACTTTTGGATCGTTAAATCGTTAATTATTATAATCGTTTGAGCTACAGAGGATACCATCTGCGGAGCTACTGCTGGACGAGAGAATTTAGTTACAGATATTGGGGACTGTGGTTGCGAGAAGCAGAGACATGGCTGTAGGATAGACGAGCTGGGATCAGTAGCAGGATCTGCTTGCAGGTAACAAATTAAGATTTTTACCTGTTAAAAATTGATGAAAAAAATGGGCGTGGCATGGGGGAAGGGTTCCGGTAGGAGTTGAAGCTTCAACATTTTTTTGGTTGTCATTTGGCCTACGGAACAACAGATAAGCCTATTACCGCAATTATTGGATAATATTTTTGTTTTATGAACCGGGCTAATTGCAGGTGTTCTAAGCAGTGGTTCTTTGGGTTTGTAGGGTGTAAGGGAGATGTGGTAGGGTGTGAGGACGTGGGGAGTGCAAAGTGTTTGGAGCCTGATCGGAGTAAGTTGAGCTGTAGGCAGGGAGCTGGAAACTGTGATGGATATTGGTAAACAGACTGGTTTATTTCCCGTGTTAAATTCAGTTAATTTTATTCTTTGCTTTCAATTTTTTTAATTTCGTAGTTAGTTTTACCTTGTAACAACTTTTTAACAACTTAAAAATTATTCTACTGAAAAATTATATTGGTTTATTTCCCGTGTAAAATTCAGCTAATTTTATTCTTTATTTTTGAATTTTTGAATTTCGTAGTTATTTTTACCTTGTAACAAATTAAAAATTGTTCTACTGAAAAATTATATTGAAATTTATCGTTTTAATTATGGTCCCATAAATGCAATTTGAAATTGATGAAATGATTTCAATTATTCGTGTACACTTGTATAGTATTGACTTAACAATCTAAAGCATTGCAATTACAGTGCAACATCGTACGGTTGTCTGAAGATGTACATCGAGAGCCTCGGACAAGTGATGCGATATTGATAAAGATTGTGACTAAGCGAAGTTCAAGTACACTTACAGCGTATAACTGTATAACTATAAACCGAAATCTTTCCCTCCGTCAATTCTCGAATTCTGATAAGAATAATATGCACAAATGCAACTTGATGCTTTATTATTTACAAAAATGTACTATGGAAAACTGGCAAACTGAATGAGAATCTAAACAATTCACGCTCTAGAGTCTAGCTAAGTGGCGAAAATAGTATTATAGACTTATAGACTCAATAATCAACCAAAGACGGACCATTAACCAAACTTAGCGCAACGATCGAATATCAAATGACCATCATTATACAATTATATCAAGGTGATGAGTAATATTTCATACGTAACTTCGAGTAATTGAAAATTAAACAAAAATTCCAAGCAGCTTTTCGGTATGTCATTTCTGGAGTAAGAATGCAAGCCAGACAAATCAAAATACAATGCAAAATTTCATTATTAAAATTAAATTTAGTTATCGAGTCAATGTTTGACCTGATTAACTCCGAAGTTCCATTAATAGTGTCCAATAATAAGCTTTTAAATTTTAACAAAACTTTTAAAAAGAGCTAGAAGTAATAAAGTCATCCATCATCAGGCAGCAGCGTCATTTCGTCCATTGTCCGTGATTAGATTATATAGTTGCAGTGCAGAACAGTAACAAGATATTATAAGACTCCACTGCTCTGTCTCAGTCTGAGACAGAGAATGGAGTCTATAATCGTCATTCCACAAAACTCTATAAAACTGACGCTACCCACAACTAATAAAATAATAATAATATTTAATTCGAAATTCGTCTGAAATGATTGGTATAAAGACTAAAGATGTGTCCGTACCAAGAAGAAATGATTGTTAAGACTAAAGATGTGTCCGTATCAAAATGATGATCAACAGTATTATCCGGTAGAAACCCCACGATAGCAACATGTGAAGTGTAATCACCATATCATGCACTACATTGTGCAGCACACCCAATACCAGTGTGTATCTCACAGTACTACGCCCTCACACTGTCTAGATAAAAGCTGTGTGGACCTTGTTATCACAGTCGGTAAAGCTGTGGGTTTGTACTTATGCCCTCGCGTCAGAATGGAATTTAGATACTGTTACCAAGAGAATCCTCATTTATAAAATTCTGATATCGATGGTAAAATCTATTTTTATGATTTTATTGATACATGTTTCGTATCCAAATATCACGATAGCCTTCGGCGGCGCGCGCTTCGCGCGCGAAAAGTGGCATGCAACGTATGTCAATGATTTTATAAAACTGAGACACTAATACAAAACCTAAATTGTTCTTTATTGAAAGCTGTGTTGAAACTGTTTTCTGTTGACACCATAGCAGTACAATTAATGCCTTACAAAGGATACACACGAGGGACGTAAAAAGGTTTAAAAAGTAGCAGAGAAAGTGGACTCCAAATTATTTAACTAGGGTTACCGAATCATCAAATATTCGGTAGTAATATTTGTAATATTTGTAATATTTGGTATTCTGTACCAAATATATTATTCGTTGACCAAATATCCCGGGATTCGGTCGAACTGAATACCGAGTACCGAATACCGAATCCGGAGATAACTTAGTCCCAACGTTTTTACGTAATGATAAACAAAGTCGCACAACTTAAATTGATTTGTGTATTATAACCAGCCCACATGCCATACCAAACACGAAAACAAAGCCGGTAAGGGTGGAGGCTTGGTATAGGTATGCTGGACATGAATCCCGATTATCCAGGTTTTAAACCGTAAATCCTTAAAACATGACCGGTCCGGCGGTCGTCAACTCGTTTCAACCAATCCCAGGCTCTCTTTGCTTTGCAGCGATTAGTGACTATAATTGTAAAGTATGAGCATCAGTACGGGACTATAATCATTCCGTTATATCTTCATTCGGTGTTTCTGAACACTGAAGCCTAAGATCCTCAGGTAACTCTTTGCAGTAAAGTATGAGTAGTAGTACGAGCCAGCCCGCGCCTGAACCTCCCCTGGTCCCTTCAACCCAAACAGTTTCTCAGTTTCTGTGTCTTTAGTAAGAATTAAAATAATGTTTTAAGATTTATCAAGCTGCTCTGAGTCAAAGGTGCGCTTCAACTTGGTCGTCAACACCTGGTCTTTATAGAAAATCACAAAGTCGTGTGACGTTGACATAATGGGATTGGGACTATAGGTGCCACTTACTAGGGTTATTATAGATGCAACTGAGCGAGGTGCCACACTGTCACTTAGGATTTTAGATGAATCAAGAGAATCCCTTGGAGTAGTTGTGCTAGATTTACTTTAAGTTGGAATAAATTCGGAATTTACATTGAAATAAACGACCTCCAGCGGATTTCAATGTCGAATAATTGAACAATTTGGGAGAACAATTTGGGCGAGAAAGCCGCTCAAATGTTTCCTCGCTCAAATTTTTGGGAACCAAGGTTTCTCAAATACTCATTTAAAAACTTAAAATCAAATTCACAGTTTCTAAGAAATGTGAAAATTTCCACTGATCCACCATGTTACTCGAATATATAGTAATCATTAAATCTAGCATATAGTGCTAAATGCATCGATTTAGGTTTTTAATTCGATTATAAATTGTCTGATCACATCTTTTATAATTTTTGATGGATTATGTCTACAGAATTCTCTTTGATGAATCCTGGCATCATAATACTTCTACCCTGATTTAGAAGTTTTCACCTTCCCTTCATTCCAATCAAATAAAACTGAATGAATGAAGGAGCAAAACTCCAGCTAGAGCTCATTTAAAACAGTTCCATAATAACTTAATTAGGTAGGAATATCTTACAGATAGCGAACTTCCCAAAATCACTAAATGCGTATGTGACTGAGATGACCTAGATATGATAAGAAAACTGCAAAAAGTGCAAGGAGATACCAAAAGAAGCAACATATAAGAACTTCCCAAAATCACTGAATGCGTATGTGACTGAGATGACCTATAACATATTATTAGGTTATGATATACTACTACTACAAAAACTGCAGGTTGATACAAAAATAAGCAACATATTGCCGCACCAAGGTTACAACACAAGAATTCAAGAATCGATACTATATAGGTAGCTTTGTAAGGAGCATGCAGCAGGACCATAACAAAGTGCAGGGTAGCAGAGTGCCTAAAAGTAAACACGGTAGTACACTTCTAATGTTTGATAGATGTGTCTTCATGCAGACTACCTGACTATGTACATAATCCATTATCGGTTCTGGGCCTCACCTCTCACTTCACCAGTACTTCATGTTGATTAGGGAAACCTTAGTGAGCATGTGGGCTCATGGGCAGTGTGTCAATACCAAATCATTGCTTCCCAAAATGGTTTTAAACCCATTCTAATCCTGTGGTTCAGGTATGGCTTTCGACAGTTATCAGTTGTAACAAGCTAGGACAGCTCTGTTTTCAGACTTATGGAGTTTGAATCTCACCCTACGTAGGCACATGTTTCATTGAACCGATAGTTTACGGCTCAGGGCAGTATTTAAGTATTTATAGCAGCAGGTAGAAGCCCGCGAGGGTAGTGAGTGCCCGGTGTAAGAGGCGTGCTGTGAGTACCCGGTGGAAGAGTGATATGTAATTCCTAGTGACGTGGCTGAGAGAGAGTGTCAGGGGAAAATGAGATTGATCTGACTACGTGTACATTTCTTCAGCAACTCTGCGAATCCATTGGTCCTCCGGGTGGTTGGTGAATTTAATTGTTTATTTGGTATACTAACGGTGGTTGGCCCGTTTCCGCTGCTACACTTTGTAGGGTATTTGCTTAGTTAAGTGGCATACCGCCGTTTTAAACTTTATAACATACCACTTTTATTGATTTTTTGGGTAAACATGCGAGTTCTTCCATGCACCGCAATATAACACTCAGTGATGAGCCACGTGACCTAGTTTCTTCACCCGCTGTTTTCTTTATACTTTTATAACCACACATTACATTCAGTAGTTGCCCGTTTCCGCTGATCTATTAGCTGAATTAAACTGTACATGGCCACATTTCATTTCGCCACGTTTCACATTGCCACGTTGCACATCGCCACGTTTCATGTTTTGAACATCTTCTATCGATTTTATCATAACTTTTAATGGTCTTTTTGATTTGTGTAACACTAAGCAAGGGGTTTCATAGTCCGAAGTGTTTTGTACATTTTACTTTTTATACGCCTGCTGATTTTACCAAAAAGTATACTCCTGTATGATAAACTAATTTAAATGTTTACAAACTTCAAAAATACGATTATGCTTTGCTGTCAAATTGGCCAATCAATTAAGAGTCTGATATAGTTATTACAAGTAATTAACGGTAATTACAAGTGATTAACGGTTTATATTACCACCACAGAAATGTTGCCAGTGTTAACACTCTGTCTGCTCCTCGGTTCTGTGCTCTGCGATGAAGGTAATTCGATCATAAATAATTTATCTCATGTTTCGTTTATACCACCGCAGTATTACATACCAATAATTGTGTCGGACAGAGGCGTTACGGCCAAAACATACCACGACTGTGTTGCTAAGAGACTTAAAATAACAAAACCCTACCGGTTAAAGTTAATTCACTACTGTGCGATTTTTTACTCACGATCAAACTTTATCAGGAACGGTCCTTGTGTTAGGAGGACAAGGATTAGCAGGATCAGCAACACTCACCGCTCTTCTGGACGCAGAATTCCAAGGTACGATTTTATTATCTCCCCTCTCCCCTCTCCCCTCTTCCATCTCCTTCTCACCATCCCTGATCTCCATCTCCCTACCTCTGACCTATACCTCCTTCTCACTCCCTCTCCTCCCTCCCTCTCCCCACCTCTTCCCTCTACCTCCCTCTCCATTTCCTCTCCCCTCTACCTCCCTCTCCCCACCTCTCCCCACCTCTTCCCTCTACCTCCCTCTCCATTTCCTCTCCCCTCTCCCCTACTCTTCCCTCTACCTCCCTCTCCCCACCTCTTCCCTCTACCTCCCTCTCCCCACCTCTTCCCTCTACCTCCCTCTCCATTTCCTCTCCCCTCTCCCTCCCTCTCCCCACCTCTTCCCTCTACCTCCCTCTCCATTTCCTCTCCCCTCTCCCTCCCTCTCCCCACCTCTTCCCTCTACCTCCCTCTCCATTTTCTCTCCCCTCTCCCTCCCTCTCACCACCTCTTCCCTCTCCCTCCCTCTCCATTTCCTCTCCCCTCTCCCTCCCTCTCCCCACCTCTTCCCTCTACCTCCCTCTCCATTTTCTCTCCCCTCTCCCTCCCTCTCCATTTCCTCTCCCCTCTCCCTCCCTCTCCCAACCTCTTTCATCTCCCTCCCTCTCCCCACCTCTTCCCTCTACCTCCCTCTCCATTTCCTCTCCCCTCTCCCTCCCTCTCCCCACCTCTTCCCTCTACCTCCCTCTCCATTTCCTCTCCCCTCTACCTCCCTCTCCCCACCTCTTCTTTCTACCTCCCTCTCCCCACCTCTCCCCTCTACCTCCCTCTCCCCACCTCTTCCCTCTACCTCCCTCTCCCCACCTCTTCCCTCTACCTCCCTCTCCATTTCCTCTCCCCTCTACCTCCCTCTCCCCACCTCTTCTTTCTACCTCCCTCTCCATTTCCTTTTTGAACTAAACTATATTTCCTTACAGTTAGTGCCCTAAATGATGACAATCCCCGTTACGACTACCATGAACTGTTTGAAGATAAGATCGAACGTGTTGTCTGCAACCGTGCTTCCGGTTTGGACGGCTGTTTTGAGCTTCAGAACTTTATTAACGGTGAGTCAAGTTTTAGGTTGCATTTGAATTTAAGTTTTTAAAGTTTGCCTCTTAATTTTAACAAATTTTTGTATTATTGAATTGATTAGAAATAAGGATATTGAATATTTATGCATGATTATAAGTTAGAACTATAAAGCTCAGTTGTTCAAGTTAACCATAGTTTTTTAAGTTTTACCCACCACTGATCACCAGGCAACAGCAAAGTGAAAGCGATCGTAGATTTCACGTCTAGTAAGAAAGATTTGATGGAAGAAGCAGTAAGAGTACTTGCTCCTCTTAATCCTGATGTCTACATATTCGTCGGTGCCGCTGCTGTATATGATGTCAGCGACAATCCTAAACATGTAAGTGTTGTTTTTATTGGCCACCCACATCTCCCTTGAAATATGGGTGAACTACAGCGTAATCTTCCTAAGACCATAATATGGCTGAGAGTGAGAGCACCGAGTGCAAGAGAAATTGAGTTAATTTTATCTTCTACTCGCCTATTTCTTTAAGTTTATGAATTACGCTATGATTTTAGTAATTTGCTCATTTAAATTACTTCAGCCTCTGAAAGAAAGTGACGCAGTAAGACCAGAAGACCCGCTCCTGAAAGAAACTTACAGTGAACACAACGTCTTTGGACACAACATGTAGGTTATTTTGTTCATTATTATTACTAATACAACTACAAGTAAAAACAAATCTTATTTGTGAAGTAAATTAAACAGTTCAGCAATGAAACTATTCATTCCTTTAAATAATTCGTTTATTAAAAACTTGTGGACAGAAAATTGTAAACAGAAAATTAAGTACCTGAGGGTTATGTAATTTGTAGATTTCAAATTTTTAATCAAGAAAAAAATGTTTGATAATAAATATAATCTGTCCAATCCTTTTGCTCGTTATTGGTTATGAACATTTTTGTTTGTATTCATTTTTATTATCAGGATTTTAAGAGAATGAGATCCAGGAGGCATTTTTTTTTAAAATTTTAAAAATCCAGGAGGCATTTTTATCCCCATAAAATATTTCTGATCATTGCAGGCTTGGTTCAGAAGAGGCTCTGATAGCTAGTGGACTACCCTACGTGATACTGAGATGCGGGGATCTGATTGGACCACGTGACACCACTCTCAGATGGTGGCAGTACCAGGTAATACATCATCAGCTATTATTCTTCAGCATTCTATTACACTGAACGTACTGTATGAAAAGCAAATACATCTCCTGTGCTACTATGGTGCTATTAATAGTTTTTGTTCAGTTATTAACGGTTTTTGTTCAGGTTTTTGTTCAGGTTTTTGTTCAGGTTTTTGTTCAGGTTTTTGTCCAGGTTTTTGTCCAGGTTTTTGTCCAGGTATTAATAGTTCTTGTTCAGGTATGGATAGTTCTTGTTCAGGTATTAATAGTTCTTGTTCAGGTATTAATAGTTCTTGTTCAGGTATTAATAGTTCTTGTTCAGGTATTAATAGTTCTTGTTCAGGTATTAATAGTTCTTGTTCAGGTATTAATAGTTTTTGTCCAGGTATTAATAGTTCTTGTTCAGGTATGGAGTGAGCATTTCGATCTGATCGGAGCTGGATTCCCAGTTCCAGGAGAGTACGAGCACCTACCTTTCTCTCTGACGTACGGTGATGACGTGGGTAAAGCTGTCGTCAGCGTCATCAAAAAAGGGTTCGTGCCTGTTTTGTGCCTATTTTGTGCCTGTTTTGTGCCTATTTTGTGCCTGTTTTGTGCCTATTTTGTGCCTATTTTGGGGCTGGTCTATGATTAAGTAGTTAAGAGAGAACCACGTTTGTACCACATAGATTATGTTGATTTATCAGCATCACAAAGTTTTTCATGACTTTTAAAATGCAGGGTGATGAATGAGATTTACAATATTGCTATGGAGAAAACCTTCACTCTGCCCCACTACCTACTGGAACTGTGTATTTACTTTGGAAATGGAGAGAGCTGTTGGGCCGACTACACTGCTGTTAGTAATTGTTTTAATAACCTTATTTATTTAGATTTTGATCTTTATTTAGATCTATTTACCCTATTTAATCATAATGCCTTCGCTGTATATAGGCTCATAGAGGCAATCCAGTTTCTTTTTCTTCAACTTTTCAATTGAATTCAAAACTTCAAAATAACCCCTTTTGAACATTTCTTTTCATTATAACTGCTCGTCTGATCATGAGGATCTTTTCAACTCTAATAAAATATAACAATCGCAGACAGTAGAATCATACAGCATGTATCCTAGTAACTCTAATAAAATATAACAATCGCAGACAGTAGAATCATACAGCATGTATCCTAGTAACTCTAATAAAATATAACAATCGCAGACAGTAGAATCATACAGCATGTATCCTAGTAACCACATAACAATCGCAGACAGTAGAATCATACAGCATGTATCCTAGTAACATGAGGATCTTTTCAACTCTAATAAAATATAACAATCGCAGACAGTAGAATCATACAGCATGTATCCTAGTAACTCTAATAAAATATAACAATCGCAGACAGTAGAATCATACAGCATGTATCCTAGTAACTCTAATAAAATATAACAATTGCAGACAGTAGAATCATACAGCATGTATCCTAGTAACATGAGGATCTTTTCAACTCTAATAAAATATAACAATCGCAGACAGTAGAATCATACAGCATGTATCCTAGTAACTCTAATAAAATATAACAATCGCAGACAGTAGAATCATACAGCATGTATCCTAGTAACTCTAATAAAATATAACAATCGCAGACAGTAGAATCATACAGCATGTATCCTAGTAACCACATAACAATCGCAGACAGTAGAATCATACAGCATGTATCCTAGTAACCATATGGGCACACTAGACATTGAACATGCTAAGACAGATCTCGACTTTGAGGCTAGCTCTTGGGAAGACGTACTGAAGGACACAATCATTTTCTACGAGAGAGCGAGACACAATCATACAAAAGAGCGTGATATGGGTTTGTGGAAAATTTATCTTCACTTACTAAATCTTAATTTAATATTTACTGAAATCTTAACTTACTAATGCCATTTTTTCATCGAATATCATGAAAATATTCCTGTCAATTTTCTCAATTTTCAATGTGAGCCGGTAACCACGTTGTGAAAATCATTTGCCTCTTCCTAAATAAACCGATTATGTTTCAGTGCTATCTCGATTGAACGAAAATGTTGTACCATATCTACGAGTAGAGCCGTTGAACGAAGCAGTTCTTAAAGCAGAAGAGAAACTTTTGGAGTTACCAAAGCCAGTGTTAAATAGAGTTGAATTATGACTATTAGGAAAACCATCTAAACAACCAAAATGTTCAAAGTTGTAATATATGAGTTGTAATTTGTGCCAAATTTACTCTTTTTATTCTTTACCTTCATAAGAGTTTTATATTTTGGGGGTTTGTGCGAAATTATTTTAAAATGACTGAAAAATGGGATTGATCTGACGTATAATACGTGTAAATTTCTCCGCTGATAATGCAATAGTCCGGTGGTGACTGGTGACTTTAATTGTTTATTCGGTGCGTTGTTTGCGGTAGATGCCCGTTTCCGCTGTTTCTTTTGCAGCACGTTGCACCAACTGAGTTGGACACTGCCACGTTTTACTATTTTACGCTTTGGTATTGTTGCTGAGTTGAATAGTTTTATTATTTTATTATTTTTTTATAATTTTATTTCGACATTTATCAGAACCTTGCTGTTATCTTTGAGTTGGGTAAGCGTGTGTTTTTCATGCGATGCCTCTGACAGAATATGAACCGCGGTGATTTTAAACATGGCAAAGTTCCTTGGCGGAGGCCCATTTATTATACAAATTTATGATCATTTTTATTCAAAAACTTATTAAAATTTTTTAAATACGGCTATTTGTTGCTGATGAATCAGTGACTAATTAATAAAGAGCATAATATTTTAACTCGGAGATATTCACATTTTATATCACCACCACAGAAATGTTGTCAGTGTTGATACTTTGGTTATACATCAGTTCTGTGCTGTCGGATCCAGGTCCAGGTAATGGCAGTTAATTAAGATAAACTGTTTTGTATACCTTATCGGACCTTATTTGGGGCGGACAGTCCGCTAGCGAACGTTGATATTTTGTTGACGGTACGTGTTAACTGGACTTAGCCGCTGAAGCCCCCAGTGCTGACGTAATGTCCGACCAAATAAAGTCTGATAAGGTATTACCATTTATAGCCAAGCATTGCAGTGTCCCCCATGAAAAAAAATTGATTTTCCGAAACATTTATCAACAATTTTCGCGGATCTACACCCCTTGAGAACCAAGCTGGTTTACAAATTTTTAAAGATTTCAGTCGCAAATTACCTACACCCATTTAGAAACAATATTGAATATATTCTGCTGCCATGAATTTCGCATATTCTCCTTATACTGAATTTTTATCAAGTACTTTGGGGATCATTCACATATTACCGGATATTACGTAAGCTGTAAGTATAGGAGAGAGAGTTTGTACATCGAAAAAGCTTACGGCGCACGCCGTAAAATAATATATTTCCTACTATAAGTATACAGGGTATGTATAAAGTGCCTTACGGAAGTACGACTTAAATGGCTAAAATATCTGGCTTACGTAACAATTTGTGAATTTGCCCTATAATTGGAGCTCCTTCTCCTGTGCACTAAAAGTGTTCACACCACGTGACACAAACCAACCAATCAGAGCACTGTATTCACACCACGTGACACAAACACTAAAGTCTAACCCACTTTGTTTTAAGGGGCAGTAAAACTATAAGCGGGCTGTGTTGAATTTTTGTATTTTATTTGAAAATTCAATTAATTATCATATATATAAATCAAGCGTTACATTTCAGCCATGCAAAATTACAATGACATATTTTGATATACTAAATGATAAATGGTACTGCAATATAAGAAATGGGGACCACCCCATGGCAAAATTATATATATTGGCTTACATTGCTTCCTGTTAATAAAAAACATAATTTAATGTCATTTCTTTTTTCTACTACTCCTCCAAATTTCCGGAGTTACACCTCTTATGTACCACATTTTAGTGCGGATATAGGTTAAACATTTTCCGGAAAATTTTTGCAGGCTTCTCCATAATTTTGTCAATACAGCAAAATTCGTAAAAGATTATAGATTGAAAACAATTTCCCACCTGTAAAAGTTTGACTTCTGTGTGATGTCATTATGTGGTCCCGTATAATAGTACCCTTAGGTCACTACTCACATTTACAGAGCTAAACTTTATCAGGAACGGTCCTTGTGTTAGGAGGACAAGAATTAGCAGGATCAGCAACACTCACCGCTCTTCTGGACGCAGAATTCCAAGGTACGATTTTACTATTTTTCCCTCTGATCTCCTCCCTCTGATCCCTCTCCATTTTGACCACCCTCCAATCTCCATGTGATCCCTCTGATCCCATCCCTTTTATTTCACAATTTGATTCCTGATCTCCATCCTGATGACCTAAAACCAGATTTTCCTATTTACCGCAGTGAATACCCTAAACGAAGATAACCCCCACTACGACTATCACGAACTGTTTGAAAATAAGGTCGAGCGGATTGTTTGCTCTCGCTCTTCTGGTTTGGATGGCTGTGTTGAGCTTCAGAACCTTATAAATAGTGAGTAATTTCTTTAAATGTTAACGTTTTCGCCCTGAATTTGGCAGTTGAACTCCTAATTTAAAAGCAGTTTCTTACTATCAAAGTTAAACTGACTATAATTTTTATGCATGAAAATAAATTGAATGTATTTATTGCCTTGAACGTAATTTAAAAGATGTTCTTACTAATGAACTGAATATAATATTTATGCATGATTATAAATTAAACTTATTTGACCTGACTAATGAATTAGATTTTTCGCCCTGAACTTAAGTTTAGTTTGAAAGTTAAACTCCTAATTTAAAAAATGTTCTTACTACTGATTCTGCAGAATTGCCTTGCCTGACATGCGCGCATGTCCCCTCCTTGAAGTTGCAACGTGAGACAACTATTGAACTGAATATGATATTTATGCATGATAACAAGTTAAAATTATTGGAAGTTTAGTTACTCAACCGGAGCTATTCAATTTTAAAGATTTTAAATTTGTATAACAACCTACCAGGCAACAGTAAAGTGAAAGCGATCGTAGATTTCACGTCCGATAACAAAGAGCTAATGGAAGAAGCAGTAAGAGTACTTGCTCCTCTCAGTCCTGATGTCTACATATTCGTCAGTACCGCTGCTGTATACGATGTCAGCGATAATCCTCAGGATGTAAGTTTTTGCTTTTTTTTCTAATGCCGATCATCCCGTTTTCAAATCCTCTTTTTGGTACGTATATATATGATAGATATGGGTGAACCGTGACCGATTGACCGAAACCTAGTAAAAATATTTAGCGGCTTTCCGATTACAGCTATTACAATTTTTCCACCGCTGATCGTATTTTCGTTTCAGAAATATTTGACATCTCTTCGATTTTTTTGTTTCATTTTGTATTCACTTTTAGTTTTATTCTCTCCTAACAGTAACATTATTCTATGAATACTGCTTTTGGTTTTAATTTTCTAATTCTAACTATTGCAGCCGCTGAAAGAAAGTGACGCAGTAAGACCAGAGGACCTGCAACTGCAAGACACTTACAACGAAAAAAACGTGTTCGGACACGACATGTAATACATTTTTGTAAAATTATTAAAGAAAAATTATTAAAAAAACTATTAATTATTAAACAAATTATCAAAGAAACTTATGAGTTATGGATCCCATTATTAGTTCATTCATATATTTAAAATGAAGTATATATTTGAAATATAAATAAATAATAATCCATTCAACATTGTTTCTGATCATTGCAGGCTGGGTTCAGAGGAAGCTCTGATAGCTAGTGGACTACCCTACGTGATACTGAGATGCGGGGATCTGATTGGACCACGTGACACCACTCTCAGATGGTGGCAGTACCAGGTAATAATACATACATACAACGGTCTTTTAGTTTGCGGTTTTAACGCCTGGTGAAACATAATATATAATATAATAGGCCTATTTGTTAAACTGACTTCTGAGTCGTATGGTTTTGATAATCAAGGATTATCATAATCGACATAATCGTAGCTGCTTGACTCAGGAGGTTCGCTAAGATTATAAACGCTTAACTACGTTTTGTACAGGTATGGTCGGAGCATTTTGTTTTACTTGATGAAGCATTTCCAGTTCACGAGGACAAACAACACTTAAAATTCTCAATGACATACGGTGACGATCTTGCTAAAGCTGTCGTTAGTGTTATCAACAAAGGGTTTGTGCTGTTTTTTACTGTTTCAGGTCAAGTTTATTGGTTTAGCTTTTTAATTACGTAAGTGAGGACAATTTGTAGCAAATAGATTGGTTTATGTTGCTCTTAGTTATGGCATCATGAATATTTTCTGGGAACTAATTTGGCACAAGCGGTTATCTTAGTAAGTTAATAATTATCCAGAAGTCGAGTTATGGTCGATATAATATAGGCGAAAAGGATAATTTATGCTCTTATTGCGAAAAATATGCTTTAGTTTTACGACGACAACTTTTTAAATAAGCAGTAGATAAATATGGCCATTACGAACATTTTGCACCTATTCGGAAGTCTCTGTGACCTATTTATAACTCACCTATGTTTTCTCTAAATTTGCGAAGCCAAAAATCAGTTTTTCGCTAATAATTTGAAAAGTGACTGCTTTAGGTCATATACTCATATACTGCTTCATAAGTTGTAGATAAATATGCTAGCAGCGGCTGTTTCGCACGTATCCAGAAGTTTGTAATATCTTCCCAACGAAAGTTACGAAAATTGACCTCAAAATACCAACCATTTTAAATTTTTCCAAAAAAAGGAAATACTTTGCGATAGTCCGACCACTTTCAGATCATATTCACCGGCAATAATATGACCATAGGGGTTATTTTGCACCCCTATTTAGCTCCAGAGTGCCTTCCTAATGGCAGAAATCAATTTCTTAAGGGGGGGGGGGCCAATGGATATTTTTTTGTGAAACTTGATTTTGAGATAGCAGTTGACCAACAAACTAAGACCAGTGACCGAACTTTTGAGGGGGTCCCGGACCCCAACCGCCAAACGGTGCCCGCGGGGCAGCCACGCCCATATTTGGTCCAAATTAGGCCCAATTTAGCCAAATACTCTGAACATGCCCAAAACCCAAATTTTAGGTGCTCTACTTGTAGCTAGTGGTCTCTTGAAGTCGTATATGAAATTTCATCAAGATTGGACAAAAAATGACTGAGTTATGAGCCAAAAACCATATGCCCATATTTGGGCATACGCACCAAATTTGGTAGATTTCGTCCCATAAATTGGTCAAATATCAATATTTTTCACTGAAACTTACTTTATATGAAAGGTAAGCCTAAACTACATATTCTCTGTAAGTTATAGCTTTATATCTGTTCAAATGTGGATACTAAGGCGAAAAGACCACAAAAAATGAACTAAATTGCCCATATCTTGGTTCGCGATATTCGCGGAATTGATTTCATTAAAATTGTAACAACTCGATCAGTTTTCAAAATTTTTCCATGAAATTTTCGGAATCGACTCGAAATCGCATTTCCACCTTAGTTTGAGAACAGATTTTTGATTAAGGCCTCAAAAAAAATTTGGCGGCCAAATTCTGAATTTCTCCGGGAAAATTTTGGAATTTGGCCGCCAAATTTTTTTGGAGGCCTAAATCAAAAATCTGTTCTCAAACTAAGGTGGAAATGCAATTTCGAGTCGATTCCGAAAATTTCATGGAAAAATTTTGAAAACTGATCGAGTTGTTACAATTTTAATGAGATCAATTCCGCGAATATCGCGAACCAAGATATGGGCAATTTAGTTCATTTTTTGTGGTATTTTCGCCTTAGTATCCACATTTAAACAGATATAAAGCTATAACTTACAGAGAATATGTAGTTTAGGCTTACCTTTCATATAAAGTAAGTTTCAGTGAAAAATATTGATATTTGACCAATTTATGGGACGAAATCTACCAAATTTGGTGCGTATGCCCAAATATGGGCATATGGTTTTTGGCTCATAACTCAGTCATTTTTTGTCCAATCTTGATGAAATTTCATATACGAGTTCAAGAGACCACTAGCTACAAGTAGAGCACCTAAAATTTGGGTTTTGGGCATGTTCAGAGTATTTGGCTAAATTGGGCCTAATTTGGACCAAATATGGGCGTGGCTGCCCCGCAGGCACCTTTTGGCGGTTAGGGTCCGGGACCCCCTCAAAAGTTTGGTCACTGGTCCTAGTTTGTTGGTCAACTGCTATCTCGAAATCAAGTTTCACAAAAAAATATCCATTGGCCCCCCCCCCCCCTTAAGTTTGTTTTTAGACACCTGAAGAAAATTTGCTATACCTAGTTTTCCCCATCAGATTTACTTTTACAACTCTTTGGGGTGGTTGCTGGGACTATGGGCAATACATTCCTTTACAGAAATTCTTGTGACATATCAATTCCCAAATCCCAAGTGGTTTTATATTTATGCTTATTGTACTGTTTATAAGCGATACAAAGTTAAGTTTTTTATGACTTTGGTCAGCAAATGTTTTAAGATTTAATGGGTCCAAGTTACTGCGGACATAGTTCACTATGTGTTTACCGTGTTTGGGTGCCCATCATATTTTACAGATGGGGTGATATTTTGAACGATTCTATTTTATATTCATCTATTGCTGTACTCTGTAAAATTTGAAAAGTATTTAATTTCAAAAAAATTGCAGGGTGATGAATGAGGTTTACAATATTGCTATGGAGAAAACCTTCACTTTACCCCACGTCCTGCTGGAACTGTGTATCTACTTTGGAAACGGCGACAAATGTTGGGCCGACTACCATTCTGTTAGTAATCGTTTTCAATAACTCCATTTTAACATTTCTTGCAATTCTCAGTGCTCTTCTGGCCCTGTGAATTTTTTCCAGGAAGGTCAACTTTCACTAAGTCTCCTTGCGTCCTAAGTTTCTCTTCTCTCACATATCATAACAATCGCAGGCAGTTGACTCATACAGCTTATATCCAAACAACCACATGGGAATGCTAGACATTGAACATGCTAAGACAGATCTCGACTTTGAGGCTAGCTCTTGGGAGGACGTACTGAAGGACACAATCACTTTCTACGAGAGAGCGAGACACAATCATACTAAAGAGCGAGATATGGGTTTGTGGAAAATTAATCTTACTAAAACCATTTTATATCGAATGTCATGAATTAATGAGTGTATCCATTATCCATGCATAATAATACCTATCAATTTGCTCAATTCGAGGCTATCACTACGTTGTAAAATATCATGTGCCCTAAATAAACCGATCATTTTTCAGTGCTATCTCGATTGAACGAGAATGTTCTGTCTTACCTACAATCGGAGCAATTGATCGCCGCAGTTATGAGACAAGAAGGTGTGGAGATGGAGAATGAGCCAAACATACCTAGTATTGAGTTGTAACTATTGGCGAAACGATATTAGTACAGTCAGATACATATTTTTGTCGGAAATAATTCGTAACAAAGCGATTTCAATGGGAAATGGTCGGGACAGGTCCCACTCCCATGAGAAATCATCCCATAGAATTATTTCCGACAAAGACTTAAATTGTGACATATTTGACTGCACTTTATAGACCGACACGATGAAAGCTTTAATATATTATTTATGATTTAATATTCAATTTCACAATTAAGATTAATTTCACAATTTATTTTTTAAAAACTTTACAAGAGTTTTATAATATGGGGTTTTTAGTTCATTTTACAATAAACTTTGTATTAAAGTTACATTCAAAACTTATCTAAACTGGTTTTTATCTTTTCTTCAATTTTGACATTGTACTTGTCCGTTTTCAGAAGAAATATAATGATGATCTAATTCAAGTTTTCAAGTTAAAATACGCACACCGGTTAAAACGTCGGACTGAAATCAAAATTAAACCAGATTGTTACTTTAGGACTCGATATCATAGCTAGATAACTGAGTATCATCTCTACCCTATTATAATAGTCTTATAACTTAAAACTAATTGATAAGAAGCTGCTCACTTCACTACCTTAAGATCTTATTATCTATATAAAGATAAGCTTAAACAAACGAATGTCGTTCTGGCTCCGTTTTAAGGACGCTAAACTCCGGCCTGGCCGTATCCAGTTTTTGTAGGTTCATCTTGAGAACCGTCTTCTCCCGCACATATCTCACTTTTCCATCCAGTTTACCCTGATTTCTCTGTTTCGTGTTGGGTTCCAATGCTATGAATCGGAGGACAGAGTTCATGATGAGTTCATGGGTAACATCACGGGGTTGTGAGTCTAGCTCACTGAGGTCCTGTTAAATAATTACTGTAGTTGCATAGACCATAACCTTTGTCAAATTTTGTGAAGTGATGATAATCATAGCTTACGTTGGTAGTGTAGTGTACCGTGCAATAGAAACGTTCACATTAGCTTAGGTTTGTAGTATCTAATTCTTAATAACTTTGTATCGCGACAGCGGCAATTAACTTTTGCTGTTAATGTTATCATTCAAAACTGTTCAAACTTCGAATGTCATATTAAGGAAACATGCTGAATAATATTTTTGTAAGCGCTCACCATCTTTTTTTTTTCAATCAGCAGAACTATTGATCACTGATCGATTAAATAGTGAATGTTTTTATTGTATGCACTATGCAGCTACATGAATTATAAATAAAAAATTAACAAGAAACAAAAATTAACTACTACAAAAGTACCTGTAGAGAATGATGAAACTCTGATGAGATATTCTCAGTGTTCACTGAATTTTCATAGTTTTCTCCCCTAATAACTTGCAGTGCATTCTCTTTACTTTTTAATACCTTTAATTGGGTTGTTAGTCATTAAATGGTATGAGTTATAAGTAGTTCTTCAGAGTAATAGCTCTACTTCTACTACTACCTGCTAGTACCAGTACTACTTCTATACTACTAGTAGTACCTGGTACCAGTTGTATTACTACTACTACTACTACTACTACTACTATTGTTTTTGTGACGCTGCTACGCGTACGTGTCCGCTTGTAAACACGACGTGAACCAAAGTTTTCACAGCTGCTGAGTCGCGGTCGAAGCCATTTTTAGTGTTTAGAGACGAACCTATAAGTTAAAGTACTTTAGTAAAACGTCAACAGTTCGCGTCTATTTTTTAAACTTTGGAAGGAGCTGCGACATCCGGCTATTTTAAAAGTCAAGAAGTCTGCTGTAACGATAGCTTTTGGGCATTGTGAGCCAAGTACTTCATACTTGTTAAGTACTGCACGCAGATCAGTTGTTAATATTAGTCTGCTGCAAGTTATACGTAACAAAGTAGCGTGCGCGTAATCTGGCAGTGATTTTCAAAAACTTGCAAGTCAACCAACAAAATCGCCTAACACTACCTTAGTAAGATGCAGGAATGAAGAATTTTGTCATTTTTTAATTCGTAAACCTCGTAATGTAAAGGCGCACGTAACGCACTTTACCGCACTTAAACGCACGAAAAAAACTTCACGAACTAAACGCACTTTTCCTGGAAAAGTAACGCACGAACCAACTATGAAGAAAAGTAAATTGAATATAGTTTGTCTAGTTGCCCGTGAAGAGCAGCGTAGTGATACCGGATCAAAATAACAATATTCACCTTTTCATTTGTCTCTTTATATTTTCCCAGGCAAGATAAAGGATCAGTCCCCATAGACTGTGAAATATTTCTTGGTTTATTCACTTTACGTTTTTCCCTCTGAAAATACATTACATACACTGAAAAACAGTTTTCGAACACGTACAGGTAAGGTATTTATATTAAATATCATAATTAAGGGGGAAATAACTTTATGATTATCTCATTTGTACTTGTAGTCACTATCGAGCGAATGAAAGTAAATTACTAAAAGTAAAGATACTGCCATTTTACACGAGCTATGTTTTGTAATACTGAATGATTGTTCATGAAAGTTCGAGGAATTTTTCTAGATATTATCATCTACGAAAATTTAATTAAAAGTTTAAAACTCATTCATTGTCTGATTGCGGGAAATATTTATCTAGATATTATCATTTACCCACACATACGAGTTGGGAGTTGATTCTAACTAGCCTGACTTAGGTCGGCTCCAAATTCCAAAGTCCTGACTACCCTGATTTACCTATTGTATACTCGTACTAGTATGCGAAATAACATGCTCCCTGTCTCTATCATGGGCCTGGGAGACAAGTTCCTGCAATGTACCAGTAAGCTCCAGGAATGTTCCAGAGTTCAGTAAATAAGAAGTTAATTTACTAAGGAGGTGGTAAGTACGGACAATGCGATATAAGTGCTGGTGAATGCAATTCGAACTATTAATGTTAGCATTCTTGAGGCTTTTTTATAACTATTGCCCAATACAGGGTTTGGAGTCGCGATTAGTTTTATCACCGCTGCAATCAAGACCAGAATTTTTGGTCCATATATTTCCTGTCAAGAAAACCTCCCAAATTTCCAAATTCTTGTGCTCATTTTATAATTATACGTATTGGTCGTCCAAATATCAAGGTATTGACTCCAATTCTGCGGAAACTTCGAAAGGTATATCTCGAAAATAAAGATACGGACACATTAGCAAATACTAACTGTCCGAAGAAATTAGGTGTGTTATAAGTTAATAGATTTACATGAATAAGTAAACCTTTAAAGTATTACTTAATACTTTTATGGTGCAGTAAATGATTATATAAAAGACTGTGTGTAATATTCTTTGAAAAATGTATAGCATATACAGAAGGATTTGATGGTGACATTGATGGTTCGATTTGTCCCGTGAACTTAATGCAACAGACTTAGAAAATGTGAAAGTTTTTGGTATAAATGATAAAATATAACAATTCTCACGTTTCGCGAAAAACCGCTTAGATATGACAAAGACTCTGTATCTTTAGCAAATGAATGGTCCGGTGGGGTTTGGTAAAATGTCGAGTGCATTTTTTAGCACTGATAACAATATTTCCTAGATAGTATCAGCGCAAGAGCACTTGTATCAATGTATCAAACTGCTATGATCAAGTTCAAAGTCAAACAAGGATTTATTTGTATGTACTACTGTGCACCTTAACATTTCAATCAATCATGATACGTTTACTTTCATCAGTGTGTGAAATATTAGCGGTAAACAGATTGTGGATGATTTGCTAGCACAGTACGCATTATTTTCTTATTTCTCAACAATAAACATGACACTTTGAAATTATCGTATAACACTGGTATTACAAGCTCAACACTCATATCATTATAAAGTCATAAACAAGGTTTGACGTAACAAAATGGGTTTAAATTCAAATCTTTCAACAGTACTAGTATTACTTTATCACCGAAATTCGGAATATTTTTGACGAAAAACTCGGGAACACTTGGATAGTGGTATTACCGTGAATTTCTATGAATCTGTATGATGCTGCTTTTAAATTCCTGACCATCATTTAAGAAAGATTGCAGATATCGATCAAACTAAGATCTCCAATATCAATTTTAAGTAAGTTTTAACTTGATAATAATTGGTAATAGTTGGTACTCATTCTGATTTCTGGCTATTTTGGTGGAAAGCGTGCATAGTCATACTGTTTTGATCCAAAATATTTTGAATTTTACCGACTGAACTTGAAAAAAAACTATACATAGATACAAATTGAGGAATCTAAAATCTTATCGTTGGACGATTGTTCGTTTGAAGAAGTCCGGTTTTAGAGTTTAAGTTCTGTTGACTGCTGATTCCGGAATTGGAGGAATTATTAATATAGATTTCTAGGCCTTACCCTTCACACTTTGTTTCTGTCTGGTTCTAATATACCGTTACAATAATGACTTTAATATATTATTTCAATCCCGTCCCAAATCCAAGTTCAACCATTTTTAATGTCGAAGTTGAAGATAATATCAAAACAGTCTATGCCAACACGAATTTAACGTTTTGAACCAGAAAAAGTCTTTAAGAAAGACACGGATCATGGCCATCATTATGACATAGATTTTTTATAATATGCAATTTTAACATTATTCTCTTCTTCCCTTCGAACCATATTATTACAGTGGTTAGACTATGATATCCATCCCTATTCTATGGCATCTGCCCCTATCTGTCTGCTATTAATGTAGCATGCACTATTGAATTCTATTCAGATGAATTGGAACAAAAATATAATTCACTCCTTTTATGGATATCTTTAAAGATTTGGCTTGCTGACCATTGTTGGTGCTAAATTCTTCAAAATGTTCGATGCTATGGCAGGTTTATATAAGAGTTTTTATTTCTGATATCAATAAAATTTGACAAAAGCATTGTATCGTTTGTCAACAGGGCAATTAATTAGGACATCATATCAATACGTAATTACTGCTCCCGCGCCTTCCGGATATTATTCTTTATTGTTGACAAGGGTAATTAAAGATGGAGACAGAAATTTCGATGATATATAAAATGCGTAAACGTTACTTACAAAAACTGAAAACTATATCAAACACTGCTGCTATAAAATCCCCTAGCCTATCAGTAAAAACTAAAACGTGCAGAAACTAAATGCTCCTGCACAAATATAACTAATAGCAATCATGAATTTTAAGTTTCAGTGTTTTTATTTGTTATTCTATTTCCACTATTTTATGATATATAGAGGAGGTGATAATAATATCAGTCAAACAAATTTAAATCTTATGCAGAATTATAAATTGAAAAATATCAATACTAACCAAATAAGGAACTTAATATCATCACAAGATAAGAGTATGAAATTCTTTTCATAACCTTACTCATAGCAATTAAATTTCTTTAGTCGTAATTGAACATAAAGCTCTATTGTTCAGGCTTCCAGCAAGGGAGGTAACGTTAAGTTGAATAATGAATAAATCAAGAAAAAGATGTTCATCAAAGGAACAATATTTAATAAAAACGTTTATAATCGGACCTCGCTAAATCCTGACCTATTAGTTATTATGATCTTAGCGATCGGCTATTTTTTATGTCTTTCAAAATGTTTAAAACTTTTAAATCATTAACAGAAAATAACTCAGCGAAAATTTATGATCTGCAGGTCCTCACTCGTTTTGTTGGGGAAAAAAACGCTAAACCCATTGAACTAATGATATTGATAAATAAAGGAAAACGTCACTCATTTCCCGTAAAATAGAAAACTAAATCTAAATGTTAATGTTAACAATTTTATCAGAAAGAAATGGAGAGCTGAATCTTTTGTGCATATAACACGTCAGTCTTAAATTAGAGCAATATAATCGTCCTTCTCGACAATTATGAGCTCCATGGTTGTGTTTCCGCCACATGTACAACGTCACCACGTGCAACGTCACCACGTGCAACGTCACCACGTGCAACGTCACCACGTGCAACGTCACCACGTGCAACGTCACCACGTGCAACGTCACCACGTGCAACGTCACCACGTGCAACGTCACCACGTGCAACGTCACCACGTGCAACGTCATCAAGTGCAACGTCACCACGTGCAACGTCACCACGTACTATTCTCAAAACATCATCTAAAAACTAAGTTTTACACACACATGTGATATCAGTCATTTGTTTCTCATAGCTATAATAAGCTATGATATTGGTAATCAGTCTGCAGTAGCAGCTTTCTTCGCAGGTCCTATAATTCTCGTGTTACGCTGCCTTTTTATCTTGAGCCATTTATTACAGTTATCTGGAGGTCTTCTCGGAGTTAGAGAGTCCGGATTTTTGTTTGCTCCGGACATCGTCAACAAGAAATGGTAACCGGATCTGCTCATTCCGGACTAAAAGCTACGCTAGCCCTGTGTATTCTTCTTCTTCTGTCATCTGGTGGAAATGGAACTGTGAGATCGAGTCTCAATCATTGAGCAACCTCAAATTATACAACCTACAGGCTGCTGGTAATTATCGGGAGGTTAAGTGGTTCGTAACTTTTAATTATAAAACAACAATTTTATCGAATAATTACCGTAAGCATTGCAAAATCCGTCGCTGACTTTCCTAATGTAACCTCGAGTCATGCAGTTCTCAGCATCCAAATGGCATTGATTATAGTAAGTTTTACCATCGTCAGCGCACACTTCTCTCTGCTTTGCTGGACAGTCACTGTAATTAAATAAGTTAACACAAGCGTAACATAACTGTAACACAAGTGTAACACAGAATGTGGACGTGAAGTGTAACACAAGATATTGACGTGACATGTAACACAAGAGATGGAAGTGAAGTGTAACACAAGATATGGACGTGAAGTGTAACACAAGATTTGGACGTGAAGTGTAACACAAGAAATAGAAGACAAGATATGGACGTGAAGTGTAACACAAGATATGGACGTGAAGTGTAACACAAGAGATGGACGTGACATGTAACACAAGAACTAGAAGACATGATATGGAAGTGAAGTGCAACACAAGATATGGACGTGAAGTGTAACACAAGATTTGGACGTGAAGTGTAACACAAGAGATGGACGTGGCATGTAACACAAAAACTAGAAGACAAGATTAGGACGTGAAGTGTAACACAAGATTTGGACGTGAAGTGTAACACAAGATTTGGACGTGAAGTGTAACACAAGATATGGACGTGACATGTAACACAAGAACTAGTGTAACACAAGATAATAATATCTGGACGTTACCTGTTACAGACACAGGAGGGTCCCCTCTGGATTGTAACTTTGCACACTTGCCCCCAGGGACACCGCACATGACTGCACGCGTTCTCTGTAAAGGTTAAAGTTGTCTAGTGATGCACAATTACTTGGTATTATGGCTTGCAAAATATGCAAAATCATCTTGCAAGCCATAAAATCATCTTGCAGCAAGATTATTGCTAAGTAATACCAAACCACGTGACTGGTTAATCAGCAGACAGATTCGGTAAAAGCTGTGGTCCCTTTGACGCAATCATGATGCTGGCACACCAATGTGAGTCACTGCCAAGAATAAATCATATCCGATATAATTAAATACGATTCGACGACATTTATTTAACTACTTGATAAGTTTACAGAGCCAGCATTTCTGTCGTGTTAAATTGTTAAAAGATATTGAGACTGTAATTTTCGCTTACCTTGACAAGGTCCGTAGTGCACGAATTTAATTTTAAAATCGCCAGATCTCTTGCAGGCAGCCTTGGTTACCTCGCAGAAATGCGAGTGTCTGTAGGTGTTTCCGTCGGAAGCACACACGTGCTGTGCCCCAAAGTATGAACAGTCCATGTCACATATCATTTCGGGATACATCCTGAAGAGGTCGGAATGTTGGGGGGTTTGTTTGTATATCTCGTTATAGGGCTGAGATCTCTGTATAAAAGTATAGGGCCGAGCGTGAGTTTTTAACATTGTAGTGGTCAGTAGGAAGCGTCACTGTCAAGAGCCGTTATGCTCCCTTATACTGAACATTACAATGGAGCTTTCATTTAAAAATATCTAAATTTGTTGAAGCAACGCACAATAAGATTTTTGGCTTGTAATGAACTTTGAGGGTTGTTATTCATCAATAAGTGGCAGAAAATATGGTTTACACAACGAAGGAGTTATCATGTTACCAATTTCTAAATTTTGTGAGAGTCTTAACTTTTGTACTCCTGTTTAAAGAACGTTAATAGCTCATGCTATGACTACTGCCTGTTACTTCAAAATATTCAAAAGTCACGAAAGATGAAATTCGCTTTCTGCAATTCTTCAGAATACTGTAACGGAGTAATGCCACTTTAAAAAGACTGCCGCAAGCATTGCGACAGATCACCGCTAGGCCTAGTAAACTCTGTCAAATTAGAAAACCTCAGTAATCCGCTAGAAATGTAATATTCGTTGGAGGGTTGGTATTCAGGAGCCTTTCATGAGTCATCATTCAAGCAAAGTCTGACCTTCTATTCAGAACTTTCTCATTTGCGCACCCAATTTGTCATCAATTTCAGGATACCAATGATTTATGGGCTGACTTTAGATCGCCAAGTTTAGTACGAGGGTTATAGAGGTGGTAAGTTAAATATTTGCCAAATCTTAGGACGCTTTGAATCCACAGTATTTATGTTGCAATGATCTGGAAACTAACTTTTCAGGGAATTTAAAGTTAATAGAACGGAATTGCGATTAAGTGAATTCTTACAGTAACAAATTTCACGAGAGTAGACGTTTTCAAGGATTTATTGGCAAATTGGCTCTGTTAATTTTGGCCACCCTCTCTTCAAGTATTTGACTTGAGTAACATTGTTGAATAAATTAATCGTCTTAATGATATTTACTAGACAAATTGATAGATTTTAGAAATTCTAGCCTATCACCAACTTAGATTTATAAATTGAAAATTTCGCTAAATCGGACTTCCATTAAATTGGAGTATGATTTTTTGATACTGAACGATCGTCGATTAATAATTTTATTCATGGTTCAGTAAAATTTCGTAATAGTGGATAAGTAGCCCGGAAAATAACCTGTGATTTTCTATTTGGATGGCAGCCATATTCAAAGTTCATAATAAAAATATTTAGTGATAATTAACTCACGAGTAAGATTAGAATTGTTGTCAGTGAGTGAAAGAAGTATTTTTTCGCGTCTAAAAATAGAATTTGTTTTTATATTTCTGCAACAGCTTATTTTGGTTCACGTTCAATCATTTTAAATAAAATTGGTCGGGCCGGAGTGGTACGATTAATGATGAATTTTCGACAAAAATATGTGGCCGGATTATTTCTTATTCTATTCTGCTTTGGTGGCTAATATTTACATCTTCACCTATCTAAAATTCAAATTAACTATGCCTAGTTTGGTCTTTTGAGATCCGTCAAACGAAAATATATTCCTAGAAATTGTAAAAATTAATTAATAATTAGTTGACTCACGGTATGTTGGATGGACATTCCCCTCTTGAAGCTACCGTGATTTCTTTGGACAGGTGGCAATTACGCATTTTCAACAGGCACTTGTTTAAATAAGTTTCTCCATCACTCCCGCATACCGGGCTTTTCCTGTGATAATTGCTCTTTAATTAACTTAATCAAATTTTAATTAGGTAATTAATGCAATGATTAAAGTCTTAACAGGATACGTGTTTAATTGGAGATATGGGAAAGGTGTGCTGGGAGAGCAGAGGTAATAACAAAGAGCATGTCTTTAAACATTGCACGCAATGGTACTTGTAGTTCTGAACCAAAATAAGCTTTAAAAACTTAGAAGCGATTGTCATAAGACGTTCCTTTAACTAACTTAAGTTATTCTAACTTATTTAAGTTATTCTAACTTATTTAAATTGTTCTAACTTATTTAAGTTATTCTAACTTATTCAAGTTATTCTGACTTACTTAGTAGGACACGATCTGGGACAGCTGGGGAGACAGGTGACAACATTGTTTTTATAAAAGCACGTGTCTGAGTAGGCGCATGCTCTTGAACACCACCCTGAAAAAAGTTTATTACTTAATCAAGGAAATATGAATTGATTAGCAAAGGAATTCGTTGATTACCCCATAAAGTATTCAACTATAAGCATTTAAATAATAAGGTAAATGAGACAACAATTTACGTACAAGCTCATAAATATGGCTACTGATTAGCTGCAGGTCACAATTATAAAGTAATAATATAACTGTCACTCACTATGTGCGAAGTAGTTTTGGTTGATATTATCGATGACAGGCTGGCTTTTAGTGGTAACCAGAAGGGACAGGGTCACTAGCAGAGAGTTCATGTGTCCGGTAAACATAGTCTTATCTAGCTGGGGGTAATAAATACGTGGTTAAAAGTGGTTATAACCCCCCAGTTCCATAGCGGATATTATGCCAAATTATTAGACGGAGATCGTCATATCATCGTCTACTGATATTTCTCCGGAGTTTGCAGTTCCATAACCGGAGACCATCTACGGCAATTTTGTTGATTCTGTATGAATTAATCTCCGTTAAATTCCCGGAGAGCTTCATCTCCGTCTAAAACAGTAGACGGAGCCGGAGATTCATCTCCGGAGATGATCTACGGGAAATGGATCTCCGTCTAATAATTTGGCATAATATCCGCTATGGAACTGGGGGGTAACAGCTACTATTATAAGGTAGAGGTTGAGATTATTTTATTGAAGACGATCAAAAAATGTAAATATTACAATTTAGAATGAAAATCTGAGGCGGCACTGATAATATAAATGACTATAATATGATACAATACTTTACATATGATCGTGATTTTGGTTCATAAGATTGTAAAGAAAGAAAAAGAAATACCTATGCCAAGTCGAATATTGTGTCGGGTAGATATGCAGTTATTTTTGTATGAAAATATCTGTAGAGAGATTGCATATAAAGATACGGTGATATGGAGGAGTTGGCAGACGTTGCTAGTGACGAAAAATGTGTCAATAAAACCGATGAGTGCTACAACAATCTAGATTCGGTTTAGAGCTTGGTGTTATGAACTATAATTCCTAGCCCACTAACCCTCCTTTATTGACGTATCATTGTTACGAATCAGAATTAAGCTGCAAATTTAAGGTTTGACAGTTATCGCTTACTATCCTGTAGGGCTCTAATCGTAGATAGTATAATGTTGAGCTTTTAAAAAATCATAGGGATGATCGGTAGGAGCCGGATTGGTGGAACTGGACAAGGATATACGTCATTAATGTGACACAGTATACCCGGCTTAGTCGACTACTGGGGGGTTGATCTGGTCGGTGACAGATTATTCTCAGCTACTTAGACTTTATCAGCAAGTGTAACGACGCCGAGATACTCTCCTAAAGTGGGGGAGAAGTGAGCACATTTACTTAATTAAATAAGAAACATTTAACTTTATACTATACCGGTTCATCGATATGACGCTAGAATATAAAAATAGTCCGAGACTAAATCAGTCAGAAACCGTCCTTCTTTGCGGCCGGTAGCCGTTCTAAACAACGCAAGGAACCAAAACTCAAAAATGGAAACATCGCCCAACTTCAACTCGAAGCCGGGTCGCGAGGTGGTGCGAACTCATCACAAATCAGCATCACAAGGTCCGTGTACTAATGCCCAGGCCGGGTCCCCCAGGACCAGCTACTTCCCCGGAAGGTTCGATACGGTCGGTAAATGTGAGCCGGACAACTGTACACTACACTCCTCATACAGCCCTGTTTAGAGTCTTTATCGGTCCGGAGCTCACAGAAACAAAACTCTATATAAATACACTGTATATCCTTTTCAAAGCTCGCTGTCCCTCGCACACAAAGCTGCGTCCTAGCTCCCACAGACCACTACGTGAAACAGAAATCAAGCTTAAAAACGGCGGAGGAGGTAACAGGGCGGTGAGCGGCGCGGTACGCTGTAAACATCTGTTTCTAGAGACAAGGGGGAGGCAATCAAAGAGAGGAGAGGAGAGCGCCAGGGTACCCGATCAAAGGTTACCTCACTTATCTTTGAGCTGCTTTGTAGGGGGACTGTTTGTTAAAATTAGCTGCTAAAAAACCGTCCACCCGCTGTGAGATCAAAGCAGATGGGCCCGTGGCGAGACCACCGTTCTAAATAAAAGTGTACGTTAATTACACCACCATATGACGCCCCCGACGCTCGTGGACGAGTAACCAACCCGGGACAAGAACGGTAACACGTGCTACAACACCAACCAATGAAGTGTTGTTAAGGTAACAGCGGTACTAACACGTGCTACAACACCAACCAATGAAGTGGTATTAAGGTAACAGCGGTACTCATCCTACTCACAAAGTACCTTATAAACACCAGCGCCCAACAAGCCGGCACTGTGCAGCACTTCTCCTCTCAGGTCATGTGACCACCCAACTGCTTGTAGCTGTAGGTATATATAGCTATGCGTGGTATTTGGCACCACATAAGGTAAAGGTAACTGAAGAAAGATGTGCTGCAGGGCAACCTCCAAAGTGTCTTCTCTCGCTCGGGCTATAATGGGTTGGTAAGTACTCAAGTAGGCTACCTGTGATATACAGTACACTTCCAACGTGCAACCCTGTAAACTATGCCAGACAGGAAATTGGTTGGTTGTTCAAGCACGTGACCGTTTTAGGTACCAGCACGTGGTACCAACATATGATGTGTTTTTGAAGGAGCACGTACAATTTGGTGTTCACTTGGTGGAACACGTGGAGTTAGACAGACAGTAGGGCTCTGGCAGGAATTTGAAAGTATGATAAGATGTCCAGTAAGATGTCCAGTCTGGTGTGCCCAGCCTTTAGACCTTGTTGATATGGATATCAGTTGGAGCTTTAACAACTGACTGCAACATACGTTTAGAATAAGAGAACCTTCTCGCACAGGTTTAGAAGAAATTTCGGTGTAGTCACACCTTGCGAGATATTAGAATATGGACTGCAGTCTTCAACAAGGGCAACAACATGGGCGTTTTATACTGTAATGTAGAAAATTGGAACGGAGTTGTAACACAGCAAAGAGGAGAAATTATTCAACGGTAACTGATCGGAGGTTGGAGGTGCAGAGTCTCTTATACTGTCTTTTCCAACACCTGGCTATGACATGGAAAACCCGGATGTTTGGTTGAAAGCGGGGGAGGTGCAGCGGGGGAGGTTCAGCCTATCTGGTCCATGATCCCAATTACCCACCCAGCCCCACCCAGCCCCACCCAAACCCCCAAATAATGGCATGCCAGTTACCTGACGAGTATGAAATTTTTTGGAACCCGCTTTATGAATACTATGTCCGGATGAAAGTCCTGGCCCAAATTTTACTCCATTTACCATGCTCTGCTATCTGGTCACTTGGTGAAAGGACCCACCCCCTCCCCCCCCCCCCTGGTTGAAGTGGAATACTACATTTGTTTAAAATATAGATCGTTGATTACTTTTATAAAATGTACAGCTCAGCTGTTATTATTATAAAAGTATTTAATAGAATCTCAGATTTAGGACACGTCACAGATGTAGATGATTATTAATGGAAATTTAAAAATTGACGGTTTCGTTCCAATTGATTAAATTTCTCTTCGATCTGAAAAATCGTCCCTTTGAATAACATGGATATGCTTTTAATAGAGTTATAGCACGTAAAACTGAGAGTTATGGACAGAAAATCCTATGTCCTAAATTATTGGAGCAGCAGATGGTGCTAGATATATAAATATTTCAGCTAATAATAGTTTTATAACAGACGCTATTAAAGCTAATAATACTTTCACAACAGAGGAGACTGTCGGCTGCTCTTTTTGATCATATCACTTTAAAGACCAAGTCGGTGCTGCTTGTTCTAATAACAAATAAAAAGCAATCTCTGCTTTGTTTGCAAAGGATGAAAGTATTTCAAAGTGCATAGTAAGATGATATATTGGAATAAGTGATGAATTTTAATGCATCTTAGCAAGTCATCTAAACGATCTGGAGACAGCTGTTGAGTCTACATCTTTATAGCTGGATAAATTTCAAAGGTGGGAAAGTCCATCAAAACTTATTTCTAGAATTCTTTGCCTTTGAAATTTCTCGACGGTAGTTGTTTATCATGAAAAGCTCCGATGAGAATGAAACATTGCTTCTGATAAATGTTCAATCAGTGATCAAGAACAAAAATAGCACATTTGAAAATTAATAAAAACGAATTTAGAAATTGTTGGGGTCAAGAAAAGTCTAGAATCGGTGTTTAATCAATTTAATCAGAAGCTCTTGAAATTTTATTACAATCGTGGTCTAATTCTTAAATATAGAACCAGCCTTTTTGCTTCTGAAGTAGAATTGTGAAAACCTTAAATCATACTGACTACCGAGTCACCGACATAGGGGGTTTCCCTCAAAATTGAACTGAACTATAAGATTATCAGCTGAGAATAATAAGTTAGTATGTAATATATATGTAAGAATATTTTTAAGTTTTATTCAGGACGATAACTACTGGAACACCCAGAATCAAAGAAAAACGCCAATTTTTCTTTGCTTAAAGTCGGATTTAAAATTTTACTCTCTAGTTCCCACTCCCCAGGCTCGATTAATTTTTATGCATATTTCAAGCTAAAGATAGATTGTTTTTCAACAAAAGAGTTTTGTTCCAAGAAGCAAGTATTCATAATACTCAGTGACCACGACTTAATTAAAAATACAATAATTATACGTAAAAAGTTTCCAAAATGGCAAAAATAGAGCATCTTTACTTCTAATTTCCTTAGAACTAGAACAATTGTAACTTAATCCTGGGCTACAACATATAACAATAGGTGGTTTTAAATTCTCCTGGGGATATATAATATATAATCGACCAAAAAAGACTGATCGCAAAATTAATCCTATGATGATGAAAATCTAATTAGCACTGGCTACAATGAGAATTTTTGGTAACAATTAAGAATTAACAATAACATTAGATTAAAATTATCTGACAAGGAAATAATTCGCCGAGCACACGAGGACATCTCTGTGTTTTCACCCACCGCAAACACGTCCACTACACGGACAACCCGGGTCCTCCAGCAGTCACGTGACCAGAATACAGCTCTCTTATTGGTTAATTTTAGTCACGTGACCCGAATACAGCTCTCCCATTGGTCCTGATGGACAGCCCGGCTGACACTACGACAAGAGTATCACTTATCAGAGTTATCAGAGCAATCTTTATCAATTAGAATGAACGATTTTAAAAAGTGTCAACATACAGATTGCTGCATGGAGTTTCTACGGAAAATTTCGTGCTATGATAAGGAATTTGTCGAACTCGCTGCTTTTATATCCTCTCATTCATTCCACCCCCACGGCAAAAATTATGATCACGTGATAAA